CAAATCTAGAGTTAGCAATAAAGTTATTTGTATCCGGGCACAAAAGACCACTGGTCCCCACCTGGTTATAATGACGTTACGTCTTTATAACAAAATGGATGAACTTCCTTCGGAGGAAATTTTCATTTTCATCATTTTCCCCCACAAAGAGGTTGATTGTATCCAAATATTTTACCCGTATGTTGAGAGTAATATCACTGAAAAACTGAGAGCAAATATGTTCAGCAGTTTCAATAATCAACTTCAGCAACCAGGATAGTATGATTTGATGAAGTTCATAGCGTCTTTGTTGGGTTGTGTTAAAATGTTGACGCCCCGGCTCCAGCTCCTAAAGCAAAGGCTTTCTCACTCGATTATTGTAGCCCGTGGATGTATATATACTCGTGACTGATTCACATTTCAGTAACCAGATGTTACTATTAACCTATAAGGGGTAAATATTTGGATACAAATTGACCTTCTCAGTTCTTGGTGAAAGTGGTGAAAAAAAATATTTCCTCCGACAAAAGTTCATTCATTTTGTTATAAAGACGTAACGTCAGTGGAGACTAATATACAAAAGGGATCGTAATTATCTATGAGACTAAGCATATTAAACATGGTACTGAAGATGCAATTCATCGGAAACTTAGCTTAACAGTCAACACGTTGCACAATGCTCATCAAGTATTTGATGAGACTAGGCATATCTCGAAACTAATGCTTGATAACTTCTATTTATGAGAAGTATATAATTATTGTGCATTAACAGAAGACTAAAAGAGGATATTGACAGGGGCAATGTATCATTTATTGAAGTAAAGTTGGAAATGGCTAATTAAAGTCGAATGGCATGGCCAGACCTTTCACATTTCTCTCTTTCCTCTTTTGACATGTAAATTGGAGCAAAATAAAACAGGGGTGTGCCCTATCAATTTAACTAATCTATAAATGTGTCCAGGATGAGCGATGGATTATTATCCAATATTATGTTTACTCTCTTTCCAATTTATACATTCACACGGGCCAACTGTTACCGTCAAACTGACGGAAATATATATAGATGCGATATTGCTTATTTTATCAAACCTAAATGAAGATACAGGGTGAGTCAAAAAAGGTAACCCAAACAAATGTATAGTAATACCTCGGCGTGGGTTTAAAGTTATATTTGCCAAAATTTGATTAATGTTCGTTCAACCTAATCGGTATAGCTATAAATATGTCTTCACTACACCCTTGAGTTGAAACAAGAAGAAAGCCATCACATAAGATGTTTGTACGCGTAGTGAACAACTTCGCCCGATACGTTCAAGTTTGCATTCTCCTAAATTATGCATAGTGCCCCTTTAAACCCATGTTGAATGACTGAGTTAATAAAATTTCTTTGGGTTACCTTTTTGTCTCACCCTGTATATTCAACGTCGATCCCATAAGCATGTTGAGATTTAAATCCAAATGTACAAGGAAACTAATGAAGCAATTTAAAAGAAAATTCACTCATGCTGATAAGTATTCCAATAGAAAATATCGTTGCTTGAAGTAAATATAAGATTTGTCTTGTATTAATTTAAACACCATTACCTATATCCAGGTGATATACACTCCCTCCATAAGTTTGGCAACCTTAGTTTCTCCATTGAACTCCGTGTTAAAGCTTCTTTAATTTACGTTTGAATTTTTATTTACTTAACCTGCGATGAAATAACTTTTATAATGTTGATGGAAACGTAACGGATGGATGGATATCCTGTCATATGACTTGGGGCAAACCTACCATTTCCCATCGGTTAACATGAGAATGTCGATTTTCAAAAATTCATCAAATTTATCATCAATTGTCGACCTATTGTGATTGAGGAAAAATTGAGAAAGTTTGGAGTCAAGTTGCGTTTCCATCAATACTATAAGTATTTTCATCGCAGGTTAAGTAAATAAAAATTCAAACGTAAAGACTAAAGAGGCTAAACACGTAGTTCAATGGGGGAGCTAAGGTTGCCAAATTTATGGAGGGGAGTGTAAGACCATAAAGATTCTAAAATATTAATGTATCGCAATCGGAAGAACATTAGTGGCATTGGGATGAATACAACTCAGGCCCGTAGCCAGGGGGAGTTCCCCCCCACTGGCCAAAAATTCTTTCAAAATCATGCAGTTTTTGACCATTTTGAGCACTTGTCTAGTGATTTTAGCCTAATTTGGGCCAAAATTGTCAAATGTGAATCCCCCCTGGAAATTTTTGAAAATTGAACCCCCCCCCCCCCTTGGCAAATCCTGGCTACGGGCCTGCAACTGTTACGAGATTGAAGACAATAAGTTGAGTGGCGTGTGTTTAAAGATATGCATTGTTAAGTGGGTTGGAATTTCTGGTACACCCTGTAGTCGTGATTTATTAATACGATTCAGGCGTATTACGGTGATCCGCAAACGCATTTTATAAGAATAAAATATAAAGTTGGTTATCAAGACAGATTGGTGGATTGTTATCTATATCGCTATATCTCTTGTGTTCGAAGTGTTTTTTCTCTTTGCAAATTGTAAAAGTATTCACACGAGATACATGGTCACCTCAAACTGACTGAAATAAATGCAAATTGGATATTGTTATTGTTAATGGTAATATCATAATAACCAATATTAGTGAAGATACATTCAATACAAACGCTAAAGTCTGGTATCAATGGGCAGGCTAAGTTACAAACGATGATTCTAGAGAGTTGTCAGCGTAGGAGGAATTCGAAAAAAAGTAACCAAAATCAGCAAACATATATTAATATCGATGCACCATTGCCTTTATAATTTAGAACCGGGGTTATTCATTGCTGTTTCCAAGCCTTTACTATCTCTGGAAGAGATCTAGCTCTCTCATAAGAAAATGCCGAGGGACTCTCATAAATAAGAATGGTGGTGCTTTAAAGAAATTAATTCTTTTTCGTTTATCCATCTGCTCGGTACTGTTAAGGTATTCCTTCAGTCGCAATAGTTGTAATACCTTGATGGATCTAAAATTCGATTTAACGGAGATCTATAATGTTCTTTTCTATTGTAACTGAGTTATATAAAGTCAAAAGGTCAGGACATATAAGTCCACAGGAAGATCTACACTCCCCTACAAATGTCTGGCATCCTTGACTTCCGATCGGAAAATATGTTGTTAAAGGCGTATCTGTTTATTTTGATTTGTTTACGTTCAAACAAGAATTACTATTCTAGTAACAGCATCATGATCATGGTGACTTCAGTCAAAGGAATAATTGACTGAAGAATTTAATTTATATATTTCACTAAATGTTTTCTGAGAACAAAAATGTCAAAACTTCTACATTTGCTTGATCAAGTAATAAACATTTGATAACTTGCAAAATATGTTTGACAAGAGATAGCTGTGAGACAAAGATTAATACAGAATTGCTCTAAATCAACAGATCCATACGGTTACTTTGATTTTTTAAACAGGTTTAACAATGATCGGAGTTGGCATTGCGAATCTTTTGAAAGGGGTGTACCGTATAAGTGGAACTGTTTTCTTTCAGTACGATGAGATTCTTATTATTTTCAAAAACAATTACAAGTACAATTGAGTCCGTTTTGCCCTAGAGGCTATGATAAATGTTGTTATCGAACTTTTGAACGTAAATTATTTATTACCACAAAGGATATCGAGTTTGAATAGTTTTGCCTCCGACAATTTTTCAAAATAACTTGGCAGACATGGCAGAGCTAGTCTGTCTAGCGGCACGCTTTCTTTTACGGATGTGTATCGGATCATATTGAAAAAAGCGCATCTAAGATTATAGCAATTGATTTTTATTACTTGTAATCGTCTTACAATGTTCAAATCATTATCAAAATAGGAAACAATTAAATACTGTATTTGTAAATATTACTTCGCCAATCATTAGATCAGTTTAGACATTTTATCAAAACAGCACAATAAATTTAATTCCATTTTCTAAATCAAAATTGTAAGTATTCTATTAATGTTAAATTAATATTTCAATTCTTTTTTAAACTCTGATATGCAAATGTTTTTTTATGATTATTGATTTGTAATCATAATAATATTATTTAATTCTTATCCTAATCTTATCTTTTATACGACTGAGAATCTTCTCAACAAAACCAAGTTTGGCCAAAAAGCATCTTTGAATTCAGATTCCCAATGGAGTTAAACGAGATATCATGATTCGAAATTATTATGAATGAGGATAAGGATGACAAACCAGGCCTGTAACCAGGGAGAGAGCGGCTCTCTAACCCACTAGCCAGAAATTCTTTCAAAATCATGCAGTTTTTCACCATTCTGAACTCTTTTCTGAATTTTTTGCCAGTCAAAAAGCTCCCCCACCTTGGGAAAAGCTCCTCCTTGGTAAAACCGCCCCCCCGGTAAATCCTGGCTATGGACCTGTAAACGAAGAGGATATATCCAAGTTTACTTTGTATAAAATGAGTTTGCAAGTTAATAGAAGGGTGGAAATGGGCAGTGACGAATCGAACGCATTATATGCATTATAAACTGAGAAGAGATTTAAATTTAATAAATAGTTTGATTCACATAGTGTTTTCTATTACAGAATCAATAATTGTAATGAACACTAGACTAGCTACTTAATATGATGAATTGTTTCTAAAAGATCTAGATATGTAGAAATAGCTAAACGTTTTTGTTGTCAATATCCAGGCCAGCTCCTGTCATCAATATGAATTATTTTTCCTTACATATGCATTCTGAAATTGTACAACCTTTATATGGTAACACACATGTTTGGTAAGTTTTTTCTTAGAAATATTCTTGTGGTCCCTTCACCAAATACATTGATTTTAATACATCCAGTCGAGTGTACCTGTACATTGTTTGAAAGAAAATTACTACATGACTTGTATTATGTGCTATATTATTTCAAATATTGAAAACTTGTTGTTTTTGTTTTGCTTTGAATCAATAGAAATGTTATAACTTGCTAAACGAAAAAACATGAAACTTTATGATACTTCATGATACTTTACAACAAAAATTTTAATTAACAATGTTTATTTATTTTGTCTATTTTGTACACTTTATAAGTTTAACAATATTTATTAGCAGGATTCATTAGGACGGACTAAGATAAGTATAAATAAGTGTTGCATGTATGTTTAATATGTTTTTAAAGCATGTATACCTGTACAAATGACTTTGGACGGATGTTTGTCATATCACAACTTATTATTAAATCTTTATATAGCATTAGCAGTCTTTGACCACATCAATAATTCCTCTTGTTTTAAATATAATACATAATGGTTTAAATCCATATTAGTCCTTTTTATTTCTTCTTCTTTCCTTTCTTTCCTTTCTTTCCACCTTTTCCTTTCTTTCCCTTTCCATCATCATCGTCACCTTGTGCTGCCTTGGCACGCTTCTTGCCAAGTGGTGTCTTCTGGTACCACGTCTGAAATAAAAATACAATACAATCTCAAATGTTCCTGATTCTGAAAAAAGTTTTATTTATGAAATTCATCATTCCAAATAATGGTGAGTTTGAATTCAGTGTTAGTTGTCTTAGTGGGTGGAGGGTGTCTCAATTTGATGCTTAAACTTTCCAAAGGGCCAGAAATAGTAGGAAAAAAATTTCCACTTAAAATTTTACACTACAGTAAAACCTGCATACAGTGAACACTTATGGAGATTTTCTATAGATGTCAGTAGAGTATGTGCTGAGAAGGGGTGTTCACTAGACATAGGTGTTCACTAGAGAGAGGTGTTATCTAAGACAGGTTTCACTGTAAATATGACTCAGCTGCAGTGTATAAATACCACCCCTACCTTATAAGCCTCTTCCTCCTCTTTATATATCGGGTCCACTCGTGCAAGTGGGGCAATAAACTCAACAGCTCCCAGTGGTTTCTTGTTCAACTGGGCCACCCTTCTTTCTGTCAATACTTGTGTGCATGCAGTCACCATGTGGCCAGGTGTATAGCCATCTGTGACCTTTGCTAATGAGCTGATGTCCAGGGAGTTGGAGATGATACCATTGAATTTTGTGATCAGTTTACGCCAGATTACTGAAAATGGTACATTGAGATTTAATATGTTGGTTTTAAAGCTAGAATCAATAGTATCAAGGGTGAGAAATTGCAATAAATATTCCTGATTATTAAACTCGTGTTTTTAACTTAATATAGAGTGTATATACTTACAATGTCTTGAAGCATAATCTGGTCTGGGGATGAGAATAATTTTCTGATAGCAACTGGCCAATGGTTTCATCTCTGCATCAAACGGTGATCTTGTTGTTCCCACTAGCACAATACGATCTTCGGGTTTTATTGTTTTCAGAGCTTTTGGTAACTCTTTTTTTAATCTTTTTGGATCAGTCTGAAAATTTAATTAGGTCTTAGTACATACAAATCTTCATCATGAACATATTCTAATTATCTCTTTTGTGAAAATAACATTTTTCTGATATTTCCAAGTACAGATTTATCATTTTGAAAGTTTATAGCTCGAGCTTTGTTTTTAATATTTTCCTATTTTATCCTTTGTGGTATCTCATTCCCAAAAATGAATTAAACATAAAAACATATTCCTAGATTAGAAAGATTAAACAGAGACATATAAATAATTGTTTTATATACACTGTATACATCTTTTATTGATGCTTTGATATCATCATTACAATGATATACATGATACAGAAACATTTCACAAATATGAACTTTGAATAGAACACAAATGATGGGGAGGTGTGGGCTAGGATACTCATAGTACTGTCCACCTTCATTTATACACATAGGCCAAGTACGTACCAATAAACATACTTGGAGGCTACAGTTTGTTATACCTATTTATCTTTACCCTACCTCATTCATTGGATGCAAAGGGAAGGGGGGGGGGGCAGGGGAAGGATCAGGTGTGCTATGCTTACATTTTAGTGTCACACAGGTAAAGAATCAGAGATGAGCATATTTGAAATTTTCTTTCTCATTCTGGATTTACATGACTGCTATAATCTTATCTGTTTATTCATTTGCTGTTTATGGAATCCCCATTCAAACACAAGAACACTTCAATCCTCTCTACAATTTTTATGTCTATTTCCAGATATGCTCAAGAGTATAGTGGGTTACTTGAACATGTTATGTGTTACCGTCTCATTCTCGGTCCATCCTAACCTATCTCTATAGCGTCGCTTTAATATAAATTATTACATGAAAAAAAAGAAAATGTTATATTATGTGCATGATTTGATGTGCAAAATGGTGTGCAAAATAGTGGAATCATTCAAGGATATCATGTGCCGATAAGTTGTACATGTTAATAAATAGAAATACAGGTTAACATCATATACAATAAAAAGTCTAAGTAAAGGAAAGCACATGACAAGATTAACATGTTACAAACTACATAAGCATTTTTGTTAATAGCAAGCAAATTAAGAAGATTATGTAGGCAGAAAGTACAGGGTGTCCCAGAAGTAATGATAATTATGCTCTAAATTTTTTATTTGATATGGAAACAATATGAAATTCACACAAATTAAAGATCAAGATGTTAGTTTCATTTTACTATATTACATTTATTACTTTACACAAATATATTCAATGTATAGTTGCCATAGCAACATGTATGCGCATTCTGCGGAGCAGCTGTGTGTTTTTCATACATTTTTGAAAAACATTTCATGTTCATATGTTTCCCTGCTGTTCACATCACTACTGTAATGCTGCTACTTCATTCCTGATATTCCTTAAGAGCATTGTACATTGTTGATTCACTTATCCACATACTGTCCTTTGCTGGAGACAATTTGTCTGTGCCTTTCCAGCCAGGATTGGAAGACATGATCAAAACCACTGTTGGACATATCCTGCAGAGCCAACTGAACCGAGCAGCGCAATTGTGCCTCGCTCTCATGTTTAACTCCACTAATGCGCTGCTTCAAATCACCACAGAGATAAAAATCAGATGGCACTACATCAGGTGAGTAGGGAGCACCAAAGAGGGTCTCCATAGAAAGTTCCTCCATCGTGTCAATGGCCTTCTTGGATCTGTGGATAAGCGCATTGTCCAAGTGGATAATTGCCTTCCCGACAAGCTCGGGTTGCTTCTTTCTCAAAGCTAAGAGTTTTCCTTTTGTGAAACCCTATATGACATCATCATGTGATGTCATAATATCAGATTAAAGTGATAATCCTGTCACAATGAGATAAATCACATAATATTAAACCACTATGACATCATGCAACTGTATACAATTACCATAACAATGATTTAAAAGCTTGAAACATTATCACAGAATAACTGCTTTTCTAAACTAAGTTTGAACATTTATAATATACGGAAACTGCTCCGCAGAACGCGCATACATGTTGCTATGGCAACTATACATGGAATATTTTTGTATAAATTCATAAATATAATATAGCAAAATGAAGCTTATATATTAAACTTTAATTTGTATGAATTCCATATTGTTTCCTTGTCAAATAAAAATTTAAGAGCATAATTATCATTACTTCTGGGACACCCTGTATGTTACGTTTTAATCTCAAAACAAATGTTCTCTGGATAGCCATACAAGATATGAATTTCTTTAAAAAGAGGACTCACATAATATGAAGGCATTTATATCATGTCATCATATATCAAAAAAGGAAGAAATAAGTTTAAAATCTGATGAACAGGGTGACCCAAAAAACATACCTGCCAAAAATAGTATAATTTCATTAATGTCTATATGCAATCAACCATATTTTTGGGTGCATACTTGGCTAGCCATCAGTTTCTTCATTTCTTGAGATTAAAGCGCATGTCTAAAGCAGAGATACTAGAACGCAACTACAGTGAAACCTGTAAGGCGGAACACCTCAAGAAGTCAACACCTCTGTTAGTGGAACACTTTTCAGAGTCTCAAGATCAACCAGCATACTGTTAAATGAACCTTTCTAAGCGGAACACCTCTAAAGTGGAACACTTTTTAAGGTACTAAAGGTGTTCCACTTAGATAGATTTAACTGTACAAGCAGGTCTATAACACTTGTTTAAACAATGCACACTTACTGTATCTGTTTTGGGGACTTTTTTCTTAAACATCATATGACAGTCATTAATATAGAAGATAGATGGCTGAAGGGCACGAGCCACCTGAAAAACACAAGATAATAGCTGAAGTATGTGGAAAGAATTTTGATTTGTAATTTAACCATATTATTGGGTTATACTATAGTCATAGTGTGTATTATGATATTCTGAATCTTAATTAAGACAAGTAAACATTGTTTTTTAAACGAAGTCTATTATGCATTGTCATTTAATCTTTACACAACAATATTATAATGTAGGCATTTTGGCTTGCCAATTCTATTTTATTGCTGTTTTGAATCTCTATGTCATTTTTGTTTGATTATTCATAGTCATTGTACACAATTACAAAGCATTAACATGCAAAATGACACCACCTGCCATTTGACAAACACCAAACTGTCAAACACCAACTGCCAAAGGACAATCACCAAACACCAACTGCCAAACACTTAAAACTATTCACAAAACAAGTTGGAACCAATAACCCATAATAATCCTCTTACCTTGAATATCATGTGAACCATTAATTTTAAGCCATCTTTTCCGGGATATTTGCCAGCAAGGTTAGCAGCTGTTAGGTCAAATAAATTAGCTCCTGTCTCAGTACACATCGCATGAACCAGCATCCTTTTTCCAGTCCCTCTTGGACCAGCTAATAACACTGACTTAACCAGAGGTGCTTTCTCATGGACTGCAGGGGAACCTAGAAGAGAAAGTCAAAGAGCACAATGATATCATGGCCATATTCATGAGGAGTGGTATTAGCAAGCCATACAGAGTGTCAAGGAAATAAATCTAATGAAATCCTAGAAGGCTGCACTTGAATATTTATATAGTGGCCACCATGTAACTAGCAAGCCTCACTTTGAAAAAAGAAAATCACTTAAGATGTATTAACCTCTTGACTACCTGGAGTGACGAGATTTCTCGTCACCTCAGAAATGACTTTGAAACCCAGAGTGATGAGAAAATCCGTCACAAAATTTTACTAAATTGAGCATCTGAAGTTGTAAAGGTATGTAGTATAATGTCAAAAGGTGGCAAAAATGAAAAACGTCTCTGGTTTCAACCGATTTTAGAGCCTGGGATTCAAGAGGTTAAGAGGTTAGGGATCAGAAATAAGGAGCAATATGCTATAGTCAATGACTGACATTCTTATTGTATGTAAAATGTGCATTTCTTAAAAATGGACCCTTACCTAGGGGTAACATAGCAAATTCTGTAACAAGTCGCCTGACATCACTAAGTGACGGCATAGGTTCAATGTTAGCTTGACGTAAGGTAGTACCCAGATATGCATATTCTCCTTCGTATTCCTCTAGCATGACCTTGGGACATCGCACTATGATTCCTTCTGTGACCAGTTCTTCATAAAGTGACTCAATTGTTCTAAAAGTACAGAACAGATTAGGTTAGAAAATCTAGGTATACAGGTATATAATTGCAATTATACTGCTTAATATTATAGCTTTTATAGAAAGATATTTATATGTAGTGAAAATGTGATTGAAATATTAGAAATATAAATGTTATCTGAGACATATAACATAAATGAATAAACGCAAAACGCAAGGGAGCTCACACGTCCAAAACTCACAGCTCCGTGGTTACGGCATGTAAGATGTAAATGATGTTAAAAGTACATTTTAATTTTCTATTTTAAAATTCATCAATATTTTTCTAAAGTTACCTGTCTGGTGTTAAATCTTTTTCTCTTTTCCCTTTCTTTCCCTTCTTCTTTCCCGACTTCTTCTTTTTCTTCTTCTTGCCAGATTTTTTACCTTTTTTCTTTCCCTTATCACGGTCAACAGCCTGAAATCCATTATTGAAATGTATATGTACAAAACCTTAATCAACATGGTGAAAATATCATGTCAATTATTGAAATATATACAAAACCTTAATCAACGAGGTGAAAATATCATGTTAATTATTGAAATATAAACAAAACCTTAATCAACGAGGTGAAAATATCATGTTTATTATTTTTGATTTGTTCCATGTTTCAATAATACAGTAAAACCTGTGTACATTGAACATTGTTTGCTGAGAAAAAAGTTCAATGTTGGTAGGTGTTCACTACAGAGAGGGTAATTTATACAGATGTCAGTAAAGTATGTGTGAAGAAATGGTGTCCAATGAATAGGGACAGGTGTTTACAAGAGAGGTGTTCATTAAGACAAGTTTTACTGTATATCAAGAAGTCTATGTTGTTTTTGTGTTTAAAAACATTGCCATGTGAACTTTAAAACAATCGCACCTACCAATTTAAGATTTTTTAATTCTGTTCTCATGAGCTCATCAACTTGTATTCTAATCTCAGTCTCAACCTCCACACGTTTCTCCTCTTTGATCAACTCAGCATCGTGTTTCTGACTGAAGTTCTCGCTCTCATCTCTGGGCTGCCACACAGCTGAAAAGGAATATTATTCATTAATCATGACGTATAATTTGCTGACTTAAATCAGACTTAACAATGGTATTACACTAGAGTGCAATGATTGGATATGGTCAGAATGAATGCTTGCCTAAAATTATTTTATAAGCTGCATAAAGAAAATAATGTATCACTCCAAACCACAGTTGATTGCATTCTCAACTAAAATCTATAAATAAAACAAAGGATTCAGAGCAGTAGCCTTCTTTTGCCAAGGCAGGAGGTTTAGTTTTTTAAATTCCAATGGGGTGTAACTTAGGCAATTCAGGCTGAAAATCATTTGAAAAGTATGGTGAAAAACTCCATGCATTTTTGGACAGAAGGGGGAGGGTGCCCAGTTAAATAGCATGGAAATCAAACATTGTGATTTAAGATAGCTCATGGTTGTACTGCTTTCTGATTGCTCAGAAACTGATAATGCATGCCTGGTTATATGTAAAATTCATTAATTCTTAATTCAGAATTGGAGACAGAGCTCTCACCAGGAAATATTTAGGGTGTGGTGCTGACATCTTCAGAATAATCGTTCAACTGTGATAAATCATATTTATGTTATGTTTTATCCTTTTTACATGCTATTATTGTATATTCAGTCAAGTTTAGACTGTGGAAATTTGCCAATAGGGTGTGGAGGGAGTTAAATAGACTGTGGTACTGCGCCACAGTCTAAAAGCCTGGCGAGAGCCCTGAGAGATAATTTATGTCAACTCACTTTTATATGCATCAGTGGCCTCGTTCACTGCAGGGACAAAGTTAGATGGCGCCATCTTCCAGCCTTCTTCTTCCTCCTATAGGCAAACACAATAAAAGAACAAAATCTGGATTAGTTACATATCTTAAACAAGGCATTAACATGACAAAATGTCACCACCTAAAACAATTTGGTCAATTTAAAGCAAGTTGAAAAAATACCTCTTTGACTTTTTTTGACATTGAGAAAGTCATTGAAGGTCAAATGTCAAATGTAAAGTCAGATTTGAACTTCTGAGAACATGTAGATGATTTTGAAAAAAAAATTAAGTAAATTTGAAGCAAGTTGAAAAAAGACCTTTTTAACATTGAAAAGGTCATTGAAGGTCAAATGTCAAATCTAAAGTCAGATTTGAACTTCTGAGAACATGTAGATGATTTTGAAAAAAAAATTAGTCAATTTGAAGGAAGTTGAAAAAAGACCTTTTTGACCTTGAGAAGGTCATTGAAGGTCAAAGGTCAAATCTAAAGTCAGATTTGAACTTCTGAGAACTTGTAAAGTCAAATTTGAACTTCTGAAAAGATGTAGATGATTTTGAAAAAAACATTTGGTCAATTTGAAGCAAGTTGAAAACAGACCTTTGTGACCTTTTTTGACCTTGAGAAGGTCATTATAGGTCAAATGCCAAATCTAAAGTCAGATTTGAATTTCTGAGAACATGTAGATGATTTTGAAAAAAAAAATTAGTCAATTTGAAGCAAGTTGAAAAAAGACCTTTTTGACCTTTTTTGACCTTGAGAAGGTCATTGAAGGTCAAATGTCAAATCAAAAGTCAAATCTAAAGTCATATTTGAATTTCTGAGAACATGTAGATGATTTTGAAAAAAAAATTTAGTCAATTTGAAGCAAGATGAAAAAAAATACCTTTTTGACCTTTTTTGACATTGAGAAGGTCATTGAAGGTCAAATGTCAAATCTAAAGTCAGATTTGAATTTCTGAGAACATGTAGATGATTTTGAAAAAAAAATGTAGTCAATTTGAAGCAAGTTGAAAAAAGACCTTTTTGACCTTTTTTGAAAAGGTCATTGAAGGTCAAATGTCAAATCTTAAGTCAAATCTAAAGTCAGATTTGAATTTCTGAGAACACGTAGATGATTTTGAAAAAATTTTTTAGTCAATTTGAAGCAAGTTGAAAACAGACCTTTTTGACCTTTTTTGACCTTGAGAAGGTCATTGAAGGTCAAATGTCAAATCTTAAGTCAAATCTTAAGACAGATTTGAATTTCTGAGAACACGTAGATGATTTTGAAATAAAAATTTAGTCAATTTGAAGCAAGTTGAAAACAGACCTTTTTGACCTTTTTTGACCTTGAGAAGGTCATTGAAGGTCAAATGTCAAATCTAAAGTCAGATTTGAAGGTCAAATGTCAAATCTAAAGTCAAATCTAAAGTCAGATTTGAATTTCTGAGAACATGTAGATGATTTCGAAAAAAAATTTAGTCAATGTGAAGCAAGTTGAAAAAAGACCTTTTTGACCTTGAGAAGGTCATTGAAGGTCAAATGTCAAATCTAAAGTCAGATTTGAACTTCTGAGAACATGTAGATGATTTAGAAAAAAATTGAAGTCAATCTAAACAGTATTTGTTAAGTTATAGAAAGTTGTAAGAAATTGTTACAGACGCCGGACGCCGGACGCCAGACGCCGGACGCCAACCACCAACCGCCGTCGCAAAAAAACGGAGACCATAACAATATGTCACCACTTTTGGTGGTGACATAATAAAACTGGAGAGTACACAGAGTACAAGCATTTTTATAATAAATTTTTCATCGCTAAAAGAAAAAAAAATTAATGACTATTTATCTATTGGTTTCTTTTTAAAGGCTGGTGAATGCTCTTTTCAAAGTGCTATAAAAGAAATATACAGTAAGTCGGGTCTTTGAAAAATGGATATTTTCCAGAGTTAAATTATCAGCGAGATGAGATTAGACTGTCTGACAATTTATATATTTTCTCTATTGTATATGATTAGAAGTACAACGTTTTCCATGTTGGCCCTTTGTGATTTCTTATAATAGTCGATATTATATTTCAAAATGCTTTTTACTCACATCATCATCTTTTTTTCCTTTCTTCCCTTTTTTATCCTTCTTTTTCTTGTCTTTCTTATCTTTCTTTTTGCCACCTTTCTTTCCTTTTTTATCTTTCCCCTCCTCTTTTTCCTTCAGTTCTTTCTCAACTTCAGCAGGGTCTTTTTCCTTAAAGATCACTGCAGAACCCCCTTCTTCCTCTGTAGGAATTTCAGGGAATTTTCCGCTGGCATCTCGACATTCTATAAACCATTGTCTTATCTGATCTTGCATGCTTTCCTTTACATCAGGTCCTTCAGTCTCACGTATCTTATCCTTAATTGTGATCAGAGCCTGTTGGTACTCCTGCTCATGCATATCTTGCGTTACTCTTCTCGCTCCCTCAGTTTTTGCCGCAAGAGTCTGTGGTTGGTTTTTTAGGCTGGGTAAAGGAGGAGGAATCATCCCGATAAACATCATCTCCTCTTCTCGCTCACGTCTTGTACGACGTCTTTGAGCCAGACCTTTCCACAACTGAAACCAACAATTTTATAGTTAACAATTCTTAACAGTACCTTAACTGTGGTGTTATTATCCTTTGATGTACATATATCTAGTATCTTCAGACCTTTTTTATACTAAGTGAATACAGAAACTTTATTCACCTTTTGAATTCTGATCGCAGCCACTTCAGGGTCAAGAGTTGGTGCTCCCCGATTGGCCTGCAATCTCTCGCGTTCCTCTTGCTGTCTGATCTCTCTCATAAACTTAGCCCTCAGCCTTCCCTGTCTTGCTCTTTCATGGATCTGAATCAACCTAATAGCATCATCCACTGACATTTTAATCTCCTCTTTCCCAGTGTCTTTGTCTTGGGGACCCATCTTGGCTAGAATTTGACCCAGCAGTTTCTCGCGTTCTTTCAATGCTTTGGCACGCTCGTTTATAAAAAACTGTGGAATTGGTATCTCTATATCACTCTGAAATAAAAGCAGTCAGAGTAATAAGAAATTGTATTTCTAGTTTTGAAATAGTAAGTTCTTTCTAAATATCATTTGTATTTCTACATAAGCCCTTGGCACAGGATTGGATTCTGTGTATTCAAATTCATTTACTTATCCCACTCTGTAATCAACAACTTTTTATTATACAAACTTGCAAATTTTCTTGCAAATAGATCTTGGAAAATATTTATAAATAAATGGTCAAGTCTGGCCTTGGTAAATCAATATTTCTCACTTAGTAAATGCCCATGGACTTTATTTCAAATATGCCATCATAGTAATCAAACAACCAATCCAGTGGATGGCGATGCATTTGTGAGAAACTAGAACGCATTCTTGTGTAGAAACTTACTGGAGTCAGTTTTAAATCAGAGAGAACATCATCAAAATAATGGAACTCAGAGAACTCCAAGTTGACCATTTCATTTTTGATTTCCAGAATTCTCCCCATGGTTCCATCAAGGACATGTCTCAGTACACGACGTTTCTGAGGATGTACAATTTGGTCATAAGATTGTTCCAGTTTTCGAAAAATTTGGATGTACTTGATGTACATAGTGGCCAGCAGTTGGAAAGCAGCTAGACGATCCTATAAAGAAATATAATATACTGTTATTTGTTTGGAATACAAGGTCAATAAGTCACAAGTATTTGTTAAGCTTGTTTTGTGTTTTGTTATTGGCTTATATTATTTTCTTATATTTTTGCTTTCTCACTTCTAAGATAACAATCAATTAGTACATGTATAGGGACTGGGCATGAACATAATTTAAAATAAATCATCAAATACAACAATAGATAAGAATAATGATGCATCACACTTGTTAGAGGTCGAAGTGTCCTTTATTCCTGATGCAAGAAGAATCTCATAATGCACAAATTAATATTTGACAACTCAATTCAATTAAAACTAATGATGAAAACAAATGATTGTACAACTGTATGTTACCTTTTCTGGTTTGGGAGGCTCTGGAGGGAGTTCTTGTTGTAGAAGATCTCCAATGGCAGCCTGGGCCTCTGTCCACTGCTTGTTATAAAAACTGTAACAAATATGATATTCAATGACACATACTCATCATCATGATTATGTCAAGTTGACTGATGTTAGACTTATTGGTATATACATTGGATTTGCCCATGGGCTTCTCAATACCATGGATTTCATCATTTCATGTCTTATAGCCATCACATGCAACAGAACAGATACTTTGAAAACATAGAATGGAAGGGCAGGAGGGGGTGGATTTTCTATTCAGAACAACTCTATTATATTTTCCAAAGCCTGTATCACTGGTGGTACATGTACAGTGTACAATGTAGCTCTAGTAGATAATTTTAACAACAACACTTTTAATTCTACATTGCCACAGATTGAGCATTTCAACTCTTACCGAATGAGAAAAAATATAGAGAAAGGGAGGAGTGCATCACGATTTGACATATGTATGGGGTCACTTCATCGTGGGGCTACTGACCATAGGTATTGGATTATTTTGACCATGGCTGATAATTCAAATTTCCAGCTTCAGCTGTCTTGGATCAAAATCTAGCCCATTAGAGATTTTGATTTATCTCAAAAAAGGCAAACTGCATAGATTGAAATTATACATACTAATGTTGAAATAGCCCAATGCTACCAATGTCCAGCCTGCAATGTCAGTCAAAATATGACGAAGTAACCCCATACATCTAAGTTGTCCACTTACATATATTTATAAACAGTAAATTGTGAGAAGTGTAAGTTTAGCTCATAAAAAATTAGATAGGCTAGGCTAGGGAGGAGAACAGAAGTCTGGAAAGAAACAAGTTGAAGACAGAGACAGAGAGTTGGAAGTTTAGAAATCAATCCTGGAATCCCAAAGAAATAAAAATTTTAGTTTGCATTTGTTATTCATTTTCAGTCACCACTTGAATGAAGGTCAAAAAGCAATTGTACACATACCTGTGGGACATGTTTAACTTCTTTTATGTAATAATTGGTTACTTCAGTGATTCATAACCTGGTAAAATATAAATAAAAACAAAATTATTTTTCGGGCACTTGCTTCATGGCGGTGCGTTGCTACGTGACGACGGCAAATGTCTAAAACGCAAACAGTATGACTTTTATATGCACAATATTTATAGTAATAGACGTAATAAAATATACACTTTATATCAAACAATATCAATAAATTTCAATATAATATTTTTAAATTGTTTTTGTAATGGTGTAATCAAAAATGATTGTATAACTTATACTTTTCGTTGAATGATATTTATGCAAGAGTTTGTATTCTACAGGCAACTCTCGTGTAATATCTCGCGATATATTTCGAGAAGAACTGGTTGGGAGAAATAAAATAAATTTTGTTCACCAAAACGAAAATAAGTAAGTAATCTGGTCACTATTTGGTAAATACTTGGGCGGGATAGAAACAACAGGATCGATATATTATCTTCCTCCATCGAATCACTTGTTAGTATCGCTTTACTTTTGTTGGTTCATGGTTGGTACAATCATTTCATCACATCAGCAATCAGGATAGTCCAACAACATTAGACCTAGCCTGGGCCTCGTTTCTTATCTGACATGTCTTATGGCCCCGGCTAGGTCTAACCTCCATGATCATTTTGCCCTTGTTGCGCGTTCCGCAGGTTTCGACCAGCGGAACTAATTAACACTGAAAACATGGTAATATTACATAAAGAATGTGATTCAAGCATGCATACATACCTTATGAATACATACACACCATCCCGTATCCCCCTTAGACCCTATTGATGCATAATTACGAAAATATTGGAGACAGGTTTGGAATTTTACGAAAATGTCGGTCAGTTCCGGTAACATCGAAATTGCAAATCGTTTCAGGAATTGACCGTCATTGCGACACTGCATCAACGAACAGTAGGTTTGCAATTAATAACTAATTTGCGTGTATACAAGCGCTACATAAATCAATCAAAGATACCTGTTATCCTCAAAATTGATCTTTATATCCCGAGTAATCGCGTGATAATTATCAATCTATTTGACAACAATTTCGTTTCAATAGTTTAAATTTTAACCCGGGACGAACAGACACAATGACGGACATGCGGAATGTCATTTTAGAGATTGGTAAGTTTAACCTCATTTTACTTGTATAAATGACCATTTAATACAATAATATTGTGTTGAATCGCTTGATGTTATGTGTTTTTATATTGTTGTCAATTAATAAGTAATTTCATGCGCGTTTAATTAATAACTGATAGTGAGAATTTGCAACAAATGAAAGCATACCACGGAAGTTAAACCCAATCACGGCAACAAGAACATTCAGATTAATAAATGAAAGCCGTGGTATTGGGTTTAACTTGTTGAACTACAATCAGGATTGAAATCCTGTGACGTGAGTGATGATTTGTCATTTTATACAAATGCCCTTCGCATAGTGGGCGGATCTCTTCGTACTATGGATCGGGTTTACATTCACGTGACTTCTGGTTCTGAAAGCCCCACCTTTATTAGAGTCCATTTCACTTATCTTGTTCCAACACCATCCTCTTCGTTTTTAGAACGTAGAGATAGTCTTGGAACAAGATAACATTTCACTGTTTAACTGCGTCAGTAAAAGCTAAAAAATAAGAAATCAAAATATCATTTTGCAATAATATATTGTCTTCGAAAATAACATGGCAGAGAAGCATCCAAATATAAGAGGCCACACACTTTATAAGCCAAACTAGAAGCAATCCAAGATATACAAATGTCATTCATGTACAATAGGAATCTATTTTTCCATATATTATCAACAGTGTCAAGATATAGGGACAGAACATATTGGCATTTTGAAAGTTACCTTTTTTCGTCTCTTTTACAACATACAAGTGTTGAAAAATGGTCAGAGAATCCATATTTTCTTTCCCCCATAAATTGTCTTCGAATTGTGTGTTGTAAAAGAGACGAAAAAAAGGTAACTTTCAAAATGTCAATATTTTCTGTCCCTATATCTTGACACTGTTGATAATATGTGGAAAAATAGATTCCTATTGGACATGAATGACATTTGTATATCTTGGATTGCTTCTAGTTTGGCTTATAAAGTGTGTGGCCTCTTATATTTGGATGCTTCTCTGCCATGTTATTTTCAATAAGATTAACATGGCTGAAATTCTTCAAATTACAAGACGGCACAGGCTTATTGCACAAAAAAATAAAAAATCTGAAATATACAAATGTCATTCATGTACATTATGAATATACTTTTCCATATATTATTGCACAATGGTCTCCCAATTTCTTATTTTTGCCGTTCTACTGACGCAATGAAGCAGTGAAATGGACTCTAGCTTATATGGCAAGTTGTCGAAGCACCTATCAAGGCGTCTTATGATGTGATTGTCTGTTGTGACTCAAAAATATACATATCATCATATGTCTGCTAGATTTATCAACATCCAGTGAAATTTTCACAGGATTATTTGTTATGTCTAAATTATTGATATTGGATCATTTCAATATTCCATCAGTCATGCAATTATGAATCATATATACTAGCAAGGCAAATCTCTAGATTCTACCATGTTCTTTCAAAAGGACAGACAAGTATTGTGCCATATATCAGAATTCCAGGAAAACTCCTAACCTGTTTAACTGCAAAAGTAGATTAAGTGCCTAATTCAACAAGTTAAATATTGTCAAGTATCTGATGCAAATTATTGAGGAAAATTGGTTTCAGTTGATCCACAATTTGCGATTCATTAATGCAAAGCACAGAAATTTAACTTATTAAAAGCTCCAAGAAAAACTGAACTAACTGTCTAGATCTAATTAGGTTTTAGGCATGCTGGCTAAATTACTTGGTGGCCACTTTGAGTATTTAGAAAAAAACTGATAAATTTGATTTTTTAACATGACTGATATATCGACAGACATACCTGTCTATAGTAGTGGTGCAACTCGAATGCCAGTACTCGCCACTCACTCGTTGAACCTGTCCAAGATAGTTACTCGAGTACGTTCTTTCAAACTCGAGTAGGCATGTTTTATTATGAAGTGTTTTAAAGCCCGGGAATGATCATTTTTGGATGCACTGAACGAAACAAAGTATCGATTCCGGAAACAAAATGAAAATATTTAAAAACAAACAAACAAACACAATTATGGCATGAATAACTACATTTATTCTCACTAAATTGATACAAACTATATATAACATCAATAACATATAGAAGAAACGAAGAAATTTTATCTATTTGGTCTTCAAACAGTCGACTAGGTGAGTTTTTTATTTTTTTTAAATTTTTCCCTCATTTTTGCGAGTGGTACTCGATTACAGTGGCATTTTCACACTTTCTACTCGAGTAGCATTTTTCTTGCGAGTTGCACCACTAGTCTATAGATATTGATTTTAAACATCTAAGTCAGCCAACCAACTGGCAGAATTGAACACAATTGAATTTGATTGGGCAATCGAGGGAAACCCCTTTCAAGTGACAGCATCCTCCAATCACAGGGCTTCAAAATCCAGAATATCTTCTTTCTTTTTACCCCCTGCTATAACCAAGTTGGACGCACCCGATTAAACTGAATCACGTGATCTAATTATGCGCCGATGACGTATACATGATTGCTGTCGCAGTGTTGCGACAGCCAATCAAATTGCGAGTTCTTAATCGGGGAAATGCTAACAGCTTATAGCAGGGGGAAGAAGGAGGTACGGATTCTGGACACCTGCTTAGGAGGATGAAGTGACAGGAGCACACGAGCGTCGGAAAACTCGGCATGCACCTTTAACCAGGCAGCCAATCAGATTCAAAGCATGTTGTCAATTTCTTTTAAAATTTCCAGAACTGCCATTTATGTAATTCTTTTGATCATGTAAACAATACTGATAACCCAATTTAACGACCAATCAGATAACATACGAATTTCCCCAGTTTATTCACGTTTCAGATAATTAATTTTGATGGAAATAATTCAACTGGTCAGTACAATCGCCAAATTAGCACATACAGCGGCTGATTTTGCTATTTCATTTTAAGTAAAAACTAGTTCTTTTCTTATATGGTGTATATCCCTGGTTCATGTGATTTGATCTAGAGAAAGTTGAGAAAAAACATCTTATTAGTAAGTGATTTACTCAAGTACCTTTGCTGTGATCCACTCCATAGTCCAGATATTAATTACCTTAATCTGATACATGTACCTCATTTTTCATTTATGATTGAATGATACATACATCTGTGTATATCTTCTTAGATTAGAATAAATCTGTTATTTGTATTAAACTACATGAATATTAGGAGTACACATACATTAACATTCTTGTTTTATAAGAACATTTGTCTCAAAAAACATGTAAGTGTAACACTTTTGGTACCTATGAAAGTGTTCCCATTTGAAGGTGTTCCACTTACAGAGGTTCATTTACATAGGAAGTCATTCAGTCACTGGACTTGGAAGGATATAGTCCTGAGTAAGGACATTAGCGGTTACCGTTAGTGATTTGGTTTTCTGAATAAAAAGTCATTTTCTCCTTCCCTACCCCATTGGAGCGCCATCTAGCGTTTGGGAAGTGAATCGGGAATAAATATTTATAGGGTAGGTCCTAATTTATCTGAAAACATGTCAGAGTTCAGTGGGAAATCTCATTTTAAGCTGGCGGCGGAGTGATTTTGACCTTGGTGATTTTACCAGAATTCTCTGAGAAATCTGACGATAGAGGGGGTTAGTGTCTTCAAGTTTATTTATTTCAAAAATTCGGTGGACAACCCATGGTAAGATTGTTATAGCAGGCTAGGCGAGTCTCTCCCGAACACTGTGGTATGTTGCACTAGGCTTGGATACTAATCGTTAATAAGTTACAGGGTAAAATGTTATAATGGCCACCTATGGGAAACTCTACTGTGATCTTCAACCTATTAGAAGGCACTTTTTTGGGGCATTTTGAAGGTTTTATCCCTTTTTGAGGTTTTTTAGTTCATTGAGAAGCCTAATAGCGCATATCATATTAAAGGGCTGTATCTTAGCTGAACAATGCTACCAAAATCGTGACATTTTGAAGCAATTTTGGTGTTTTGGGGGCGAGGCCACTGTGCCAAGTACCCCGAATTCCATTCTCCCGTGCCATTCAATTGTTTTCGGGGCAGTTTTGAATGAACCTTTGTTTCTTCCTACCAATATGACGTCATAAGATGCAATTGAACGCCTTGGCATGGATATTACTTGAAATATACAGTAAAACCTGTCTTAGTGAACACCTCTCTCTAGTGAACACCTGTCCCTAATGGACACCCTTCCTACGCACATAGTCCACTGACTTCTGTATAAATTACCCTCTCTCTAGTGGACACCTACCTACAGTGAACGTTTTTTCTTGGCAAAAAAATGTTCACTGTACACAAGTTTTACTGTAGTAGAAATCGCTTTCCAATGATACCCCATATGGCCATGTTCACCTCAGTTGGGTGTACTCAATCTGTGATGCAATCTGTAAGGTGTACCCCTACCCCAAAGAAATTTCAAGAAATCTCAAAATCAAATTTCCTGAATTTTGCTAAAAGGACCTGTGTCTATAAGGATTGACTTTTCCTCCGTGCTTTTTCTCAAATATAGGATTGTTATATACCATTGTGATCGGGATAATGCCTACAATGCTAATATAACCATGTTGGAAGAAAACAAACTAATTCAGTTTACTATTAGGATATAGTCCTGAGTAAGGACATTAGCGGTTACCATTAGTGATTTGGTTTTCTGAATAAAAAGTCATTTTCTCCTTCCCTACCCCATTGGAGCGCCATCTAGCGTTTGGGAAGTGAATCGGGAATAAATATTTATAGGGTAGGTCCTAATTTATCTGAAAACATGTCAGAGTTCAGTGGGAAATCTCATTTTAAGCTGGCGGCGGAGTGATTTTGACCTTGGTGATTTTACCAGAATTCTCTGAGAAATCTGACGATAGAGGGGGTTAGTGTCTTCAAGTTTATTTATTTCAAAAATTCGGTGGACAACCCATGGTAAGATTGTTATAGCAGGCTAGGCGAGTCTCTCCCGAACACTGTGGTATGTTGCACTAGGCTTGGATACTAATCGTTAATAAGTTACAGGGTAAAATGTTATAATGGCCACCTATGGGAAACTCTACTGTGATCTTCAACCGAAGTGTTTCACGTATGGAGGTGTTACTGTAGACAATTTTTACTATACATGTACATGTTAATTTAAATTATTAATAAATCCTGAATGAATAAATGTACGGTATATTATAGGAAGAGCTTTATTATATACTTCCAGGATGAGTCTCCAGTGGACATTCATAGCCACATTTCTCTACATAGAGATAGCCATTGTACTGCTTCTCTTGTTACCTTTCATCTCAGCCGCAACGTAAGTAGAATGTTATTAGTACTGTATTAACATTACAATACTCAATCTCTGCACCATCGGGGTAGAATAGGGGTTTTCTGCATCCATTTTCTTCATTCGTAGTCATTCACAATCCCAAAACCTGAGCATTTATACCTAGGGTTTGGATTAAAAACAATTCTGAGCAGTAGAAATGACCAAATATTGCAGTTTGATTACTTGATCAAATGACCATTGGCTCATGGGCATTTATTTGGAAGTGGGGTGTAAGTTGTTTTCCATTTTTATAAAGGCCCATGGGCTTCATTTCTCAATTGATGCCCAGTGGAGAAAGGGATTGAAATTACTTCAGTCTAACAAACAGAAGTGGCAAACAAAAGAGAGAATTGAGGCTAACTTGACATGATGTAGCAAAGATTTGACAAAAGGTCACATATTGATCAATGTTTATACCCGCATTCTTGATACTATTATGTGAATGTGAAAGTCATGTGTCAACTTCACAATCAATAATATTTTGAAACAAAATGCCCAGTGGCTTGATAAACCTATTTTCCCTCTAAATGCCCTCCTCCTTGGAAAAATGTTTTTTTCCTCTTGATAAATTCTCATGGGCAAAACAAACGGCCAATGAGCCTATTCACAAGAAACAGTCTCCAGTATATTAAAAATGTACATACAATTAAAATTATCCCTGCAAAATGTAACCATTGATTTTATTTTAGATGGCAAAAATTGTTCAAGTCGCGGATATTTGCTGCTGTGACGACCTACGCCAACTGGTATTTCAACATCTTCATAGTTGTGCTTCTCATCCTCTTTGCAGGTAAGAATTTTATAAGTCACATAGCCTACATATTTATCTAAAAAGACTGTAACAACATTTGTATCATATAAAAATTAATCTCAAGCCATTTAAGATGAGAATATTGATTATTTAATACATTTTAAAACAATGTCTAATTACAGGGCAGAGAATTCAGCTTAGCTTTCAGTTAGAAATCACAACTAGTGTTTTATACTCATGTGTGTTCATGTAAATGTTATATTTCAGACTCCATTAGAGATATGCGACGCTATGCTATGGTTGAAACAGCTTCCCTCGATTTGAAAAATAATCCTCAGGCCGAGGCTGTGACTCATATGAAATTGTTCAGATCACAGCGGAATTTTTATATTGCTGGTTTTGCTCTCTTTCTCTTCCTGTAAGTGAAGGCACTGGAACGGAGACTGTACAATTGATGTTATGTGTTGTTTGTGACAATGTATTGAGCTACACCATCCAGTAACATTCAACTGCGTTGTCTTTTCTGCATTGTCTTGTATAGTATTGTACTATTTGATCATCATGTTACAACTCAGACATTGTGTTAAAATTTCTGTTTGGAAAAAAGCATCAATGCCAGATGTTTTGGAAGCAATTTTCCTTAAACGTGAAATGGCTCGATTTGAATATCAGTTGATATAATACTGAAAAGTGTAGCTTGTATGTATGTATAGTACTGTTACTAAATGATTTTAGGCCAATGATGTTGTGTACCAAAAATAATCTGGGATATCAATGATTTTGATTCTAATGTTTGCCATTTTCCATTCACTCTGCAGTTGCAAATTATTCTTTCTTTTCAGTTTTCACAATTTTTGTTTTTGAATTATGACTTTTGCTGTGCTTTGATTTATTTTATGCATTACTTTACAAAACTTCATGCAATATGGCAAGATTAATGCATGGATCATCTTAATAGATAGCCCATGAATAAAATGATTTACAAGAAATTGGATATTTTTCAAATTTCGTGTAAAACTAAAAAAGCTTTCATACCCTAACCCAATCACACTCTCCCCCTCCCATTGAAACAAGATTAAAAGTCAGATCAAAATTTGAGTTCTGGTAAATCATTTGGTATACAAACACACACATAACATGCTTTGATGTTAATCATCTCTTGTGCTTTTGGATGTGCTGACATAGTGATGGTTGCTAGGTATTTTATACAGATAGAGATGTATGCATTCTCATCAGTTTGAATCCAATAGTTTATATCTGAATAAATAAAGCTTGCCTATTTTTTATCATTCATGAATTTTTGATAAAACTTTTATGTTCTACAGATATTTATAGTAATGGGCCTTGAAACGATATTCATTTATCCTCATCACTATGACAACATATCTCCGCAGCAGCCATTTAATCTGCGCCAAGAATCATCTCTTTGCATGCACATCCTTATGTTCCATTCAACGTTTCTACTTGTTCCTATGTTATACTCATGTTTCCATTCGCAGATGCCGTAAGAGACATTAGACGCTTTGACTCCACCTTAGAAGAGAAAATAGACCTTAAAAATAATCCCCAAGCTGAAACTATGCTCCAAATGAGAATGTTTAGAGCCCAGCGTAATCTTTATATCGTTGGTTTTGCACTTCTTCTTTTTGTGTAAGTTGATGTTTTTAAGACACATTTTCACGTTCTGGTAGATTTGGTTTGGATATAGATCAAATGTGTGGGTCTGAAAAAAATTTCAGCAAATGCTTTGGTGAAATCAAATGCATGGGTCTTGGAAAAACAGCAAATGCTTTATTTTTTGATTTGCTTCATGTAAGCTAGTTATTGTATATCATTGTAGATTTGGTTTGGTTAAATCAAATGCATGTGGCTTGGAAAATTTTCAAAACATGCCTAATTTTTGTTTTCTTCTTTCAAAATACTTTATGTAGCATGCAATGCATGTTACTGAGATTATCGTTCTGCGACTCTTGCTTTTTACGTTCATTTCAATAAAATGAGCCAGTTATCTTAGTGCCATTTATTTTCTTTCCCATAGTCTAGTGTAGTCTCACATAGTCTCATCCTTTGACTAAATCTTATTTATGGATGCATAATCCAAAGGGTTTTTCTAGATTTTCACCACAACAACTTGCATGTACAAAATGTATAAACTATAGTATTCACTGAATGGATTTAGAATGCACTTAGCACACCATAACAAATGATTTTATGGCTTAAAAGTACACACACATTTACCTGATATGTTCCCACCGACTATAACATATACAGGGTGACCCAACAAACACAATTCTCTAATTTTGGAATAACTTAATTTATGTGGAATTATTTTTAATGCCCAAGATCCAATATAAAAACATGTATACTATACTTACTGTTTGCTCCATTGACTACTGCCCTGAAGAATGAGGAATGAGATTCTACCAAAATTAAGAAAGGTATTCTAAAATTAGAGAGTTACATTTATGGGATCACTCTGAATGTGAAACTAACCAAAATCCCTTGAGCATATGGGAATCATGTGACTAAATTTGGCCAATCACACCGGCTAAATCAAGCCACATGACCATTCGTTAGCAACATGATGATAAATTATTTGTCTGGTCATGTGACTTAATTTCCTCTGAATGTTGGGATTCTGCAATATGCTTTCCAAACTCGATGTGTGGTATCTCTTCATCTTCATTGATCTGCATGGCAAATTGCTTGTTTTAAGCTTTAAATAGAATGAGAATAAAAATGGAGAAAGCTAAAAATGGAGAATCAAGTGTATTTGCACCAGTCAGTCAGCATGTTGATTTTGCATGCAGCTTATATTGAAACCAGATCCACCTGGACTGAAAATGATGTCTAAAAATTGGCAAAAGTTTGAACAGAATACGAACTTATCTAACTCCATATGCTGTTAATATTGAGAAATTGACTTAATACATGTCTCTTTTTGTATCTACTTTATCTATTCCAGTTTTTTTTCAGTATGACACATATCTCAAGCTTGCCATTCCTTCAGTCTTATATCTGCTTCACATTTGTTTATTTGTTTATGTTAATCCTATGACCCTATAGATGGCGTCCTGGATATGAGAAGGTACACAGTTTTACGAAATCAAGAGGGAGATATGCTCAAACATAATCCAGAAGCTGAAACAAAATTAGCCATGAAATTATTTCGTTCTCAGAGAAACTTTTACATCGCAGGATTTGCATTAATTCTGTTTGCGTAAGTCACCATCTTGCATGGTGCATCGTGGGAATTCCCTGTGAATTAACATCCCCAGTGTTGAATCGTGATTTGCATTTGAAATGGTCAGTAGTCAGGACCCCATCTTGCGATTTCATCTAATGAGATATCTACATGTTTTATTGTACAGTAAAACCTGTGTATGTGAACATCTCTTTTAAGATGGTAATGGAGTTTGAAGATGTGTTGAGAGATACATGAACTCTCTAAAAACAATTGTTACAATTTAACAATAGTTTTTGCTTGTCCCATATTGAGCCTTTATTTCTGACTTACTATATCATAATAATTCTTTGGTTTCTTCCATAAAAGCATTAACACATTATTTTAAGATATAATATGTTATATGTAGAAATATGTATTAAATCACAACATAAAAAGTTAAGATATGCAAGCTTTGTGAAAATGCTCCACATTCACACATAGAATTTATGGAAATAATAAGTTAATGTTTTCAAATGTGAACATTTTTTTCATTTTGATTCCCATTTATTGTTGTCAAAACTTCTGTGAGCTTGTCGTAAACTGTGCTCTTAGCCACTATCAGTAAATTTGTACAATGGTGTTCACTTCAGGTAGGTTTTGCTGTACTGGTATAGATATTATCGGAAGTTAAACATTTCTGCAACAATCGGCACTATGTACATATTATTAATTGAATATTTTTACAACAACATGTAGAATCTAATTATGCTGATCCACATTTACTCATATTTTGTCAAAAATGAATGTTACCTTAACTAAGTGAGAAACTAATTCAATGTTTCACCTCTCATATTTTGTTTTGTCCTGATTAGTATTAATTTGCAGTTGAACTTGAAAACCTTTTCCCTTTCTTCAAAACTATCTAATTTTCTCTAGAATAGTGCCTTACTTCATTTCTTTTTCTTTTTTCGACTTTTGTTTTCTATTCTGTGTACCTAACTAGCTTCATTTTGTCCTGTTAACCCTCTTTCATGATATAACTATTCTGGAAATCTCTTCTATATCTGTACATAATTTTCATGAGTTGTCCAAAATTAAGACAGGCTCGAGTTGTTTTCTAAAAGTCACCTTATGAACAACAATGTTCGCCCCAGAATTCTTAAGTATTGTAGTTGCAAAATTTAGTTCTGCTCAAAGTTGGTCAAAATATGCTAATTACATTGTTATGAATTTTGAAATACTGAATGCAAGTAGGTGCAAATGGGTATTCAAGTGGGTGCAAATGGGTATTCAATTGGGTGAAAATGGGTATTCAAGTGGGTGAAAATGGGTATTCAAGTGGGTGAAAATGGGTATTCAAGTGGGTGAAAATGGGTATTCAAGTGGGTGAAAATGGGTATTCAAGTGGGTGCAGCTGCAAAGTTGTCCAAATCTCAAGGAGATGCATTATGCAGATCTAAATTGTTTCAGTACTAGGGAGATCATTAAATATCATAAAAACTAATTTAGAAATCAGACTCAAAAAGCCTCTCAGATTTTGGATATCTCATGAAATTAGTACCATTGGTAGTTGTCTGTATTTTAGAGCTCCAATAAGTATTGCATGGTCTTTCGCATTATATGCATGTTCCTGATTATATGCAAGTTCGTGATATTATCTATGTTGAAGACAATGAAGATAATAAGTATTTGTATTTGTAAACCAGTGAAATATATTTATCTTGTAAAATTAGAGTAAAATGTATTTCTCTTTGTAAACTTCAAAAATCATAGAAACATACTACTGGTGACTTAGCATGTTATTGTTAAAAACCAAGTTATCCAATATAATACATGTAAACGTAAATGCAATTGTATTTGTATAAATAAATACATACATCATGTATAATTCCAAATTCTATTGTAGAGTCCTCCGTCGTTTAGTAACATTAATCTCCCAGCAGGCCTCACTGGCCGCATCAGAGGAAGCTGCTATCAAACAGGCAAAGAGTGCATCTGATGCTGCCCAGAAGCTCATGGAGGAAAATGCCCAGAAAAAGAAGGAAACTGGTGATAATGAAGTGAGTGAGAACTATTACAAACTACAGCTTTGTATTCATGCATTTTGGGTGAAGACCTTAGTTGAGATTTGATAACATATCTTGTATTTAGATATAAAGACTTTTTCACCCAGTCAATGATTTGGATATTTTTACACTAATTTTTTTGTTGCTCAATAACTTGTATATTGACAAGTTTGCGAATTACGATGTGCACCAGTTTGGAAACAAAGACTTCTCATGCTGCATAATCTACTTGTTCATGTTTCATTTCAGAAGAATGAGTCAAGACCTGATGACAAGTTGATCAAGGAGTTGGAGGTCACTAAGAAAGACTTGGAGGATGTCAAAGAAGGTACTGCAAGTCTCACCATATTTAATAATGCCAATTTTACCTTGTTAAACTTTTGAATACTCAAAAATTCATTTGAAAACATGCAGTTTCTCACCATTCTGAGCACTTTTAAGTGATTTTGGGCCAAATAGTCAAATGTGACCCCCTAGAATTTTTTAAAAAGTGAACCTCCTCGGCAAAAGCAGGCTATGTGCCTGGACCTAGCCTACAGGATAACTTTGATGTGATCACTAATTTTGCATTTATCATTGTTGAATGTGTGTTTTAGAACTACACAGGGCAAACTTGGACCTTGCCACAATGAAGAAACAAGCTGAATCCACCAATGAAGAGTATGACAGACTCCTGAAAGAACTAACAGCGGTCCAGGTAACTATCTATGCCCTCTAATTTGAATTATGAGCAATCTATGACTTCATGAATCATTCATTTGTCATCTGAATATATGTGCCAACCTTGATTTCATGAGTTGTACATGTGCAATCTTTGACTCAATAATTTGTGTATGGGCAATTTTAATTATCTTCATTTGGTATCCTAGTTTTAATGCATTATACAAGTTGTACAAGGGCCGAGCAATATATTCGCTACTTTTTGCTTTATTTTCTTTTATATTTGTTTATTTCCATTGAAATTTGGTACAGACATAGAATGTAGAATTCGACATCTTTTGATTCCATTTTCAAGCCCATTGCCAAATATGGCAAAAAATTATGGTTGTCATAGCAACGGGAGGAATGAGCCACCGGAGCTGCCCATAATTTTACTGCAATTGCACATGCAACAATATCTTTATATGCCCATTTCTCATAACAAAAACATTCAGTTTGGGTAATTTTTATAAACATTGTTTACTGGACATTGATCCAATATTCAGAACAATGGTTGTGATGTCATAGATGTTCTTTTCAAACAATAAAGAGGTCACTATTGATCCGCATATGCATCACAAAAAGGGAGACTCTGCTTCCTGAGTTGCAGGTCTTGCGAAAGAACTTCATGGATGCAGTTCGTAAAAAGCGCCCAGTATTGATCAACCATATGATATATCATCAAGATAATGCTCCATCACACAGGGCCCGTGAGGTAACTGATATATTAGCAGCTCTAAACATTGAAAAATTTGATCATGCACCATACAGTCCAGACCTTGCATTGTGCGACTTTGAAATTTCGGCAAACTGAAGAATGAGCTACGCGGGCAGAGGTTTAGTGACCGTGAAGAAGTGGTTGAGGCCTTCCATAAGGCCCTAAAAGACCTATATGGAAATGGAAACGGACTGCAACAGGCCTATCAAGACTGGCTTTCCCGATGTAGAAAATGCATAGCTTCAGATGGACACTATTTTGAGAATGAGGCATGGAATGAGGAGTAACTGTCTTAATTAACAAAAAGGACATTTTGTATAAAAGTTGTTTTCTGAAACATTGTCACAAATGTCAGCTCCGGTGGTCACTATCAACCAATATTCAATGCCATGTAAAATATTACGGATGTAACCAAATAAATGCACATTTGGTGATATTACAGAAAAATGTTTTTTCTATTATTTTGGAAAATTTCAGGTAAGATACTTTATTATTAACAATTTGAGAGCAAAAAGTAGCGAATATATTGCTCGGCCCTTGTATATACAAACCTTTACTTAAATTGGGTTGTCATGTGCGTGCAATCTTTGATTTTTCAGAGCCAGGTTGCTTCAGGTGACAAAAAAGATGATTAGAGACACCTATAGGCTAGAGTATTATCAGAACTATTAAAAACTTTTAGGATGACTATTCTGCTTTCATCCAACATTAAGACATAGTCATTTTTGATCATTAAGATCTCAAAGTTCATCAAGAAAAGACCATGAAGAAATTCCAGAAGATAACTGTCGTATAAGTTATCCTTAGAATCCCAACGTATGACACCGAGAACCCTCAACACACTCATGTTCTACTGGATTTTATGAGATGACAGAAGCGAACTCATTACAATGCAAAAAATGATGTAATAGACATATGTAATTTTGAACAGATGAAACTCACTATTCATTTTCTAAGTTTTTTTTATCAAAAGGATTGTCTCCTTTCCATAACTACGGAGTTTTTCTTTCATAAGTGTTATGGAAACGGATATAGAAATGACATGAATGTTCTGTAGATGCATACTTATGCATGGAGGTAAAATTATGGATACAAAATATGATTACTTGTGATTTTGAATCTTAATATAATATACTATGAGCAGTCCTTTTTCTCCTGAATATAGCCTAATATATGTAAATACTTGAACAATTGATTACAGCATTTTCAAATCAACATATTGATGTGCACTGTTGTAGGAAGATGGATATGGTAAAGGGAAATTTTAATGTACAAAATGTAGCTTTAAAAATAATGTTAATTTGTATAATACAAGTAAATGTTTGTTAATGCCTATATGAGCTTGGCAATCTGTGAGATGAAGGAATTAGGATAATTAATAATAATCAAAGCTCATATAAGATTTATTACATGACAAAAAATCAGTAATCTTTAAATGTAGCATAAAAATTTGAAATCATCCAGAATAATGAGATGACATGACAAAGCAATCTTTAGTCTATGTATGTAGCATTAAAATCATTCAGATATATAAATAAAATTTGCAGTATGTGGTACATGGGTGCCTTTGTGGAAGATGTTTTGCTGTATTGTTCATTAATTGTTTTGTACACTGTTAATTAAGCACATATTCATCATTATTATAATACAGGGTGATCACTAAGTTCTGGGAATTCATCTGTCATTTCATTATTTTTCAACCAATTTACTTGAAATTTTCAAGGTAAATGGGGATTGTGATTTTGGGTTGGATAAAACAGTCTCATTGTCATCTGATGTCACAATGGATAATTATTGTTACTATAGCAACATGACAAATGACGTAGTAGGTCAAGCAAAACTTGAATTCATTTTTATTTAACTTGATCCAAAAGTATGGTTAATTAATACCTATTTGGTGGATAAATTTCTGTGATTTTTTATGTTTTCAAATGTTTCTAACTTTAGTCTCTAAGGTAACATCTGTATTGTGATATAAGAGTCCACTTTGCTCAATTTTCTTATCATTGGTCAGACTCTCAAAGTCACAATCATGAATCAAAATAGCGGGGAGTTATCTTTCATTATGACTATGCTTCTTCCCATTCCTCAAGCTGCCCCTTCTACTCTTGAGGAATTAGGGGTCACACAAGTTGTTCATGCCCCATATTCACCATATAATGTTCACCGGATGAACCACCATTAGGTTCACTAAATTTAACTGTTGAAGCATCATATGATAGATCATCATAGTTTTCGTTCCAATGAGGGACTGATCTCAACAGCTTGAACAAATTTTCAAGGGATACCAAAGGGAGGACTGGAAAGCGACTTTATGGACTAGGTTTGACAACAATGCATAGGCGTCCAGGCCTATGGAAATCATTATAAATTAAATGATCCTTCCAGCAATGAAGAATACTTCTGAATAAATGACTTCAAGAGTACTGTTCTGCGTCTAGTACAATTAGTTTGAACCAACCATCTAGGCGAGATGAATATGTTTTAGCAGGATATTTTCAAATTAACGTCAGTCAAAATTTGCTGACCCGCTGACCACTTTTACTTTTTTTATAATTACAATAAAATAAAGTGTAAAAGTGATATGTATATGAAACATTGTCTGTCAATTCAGAATTATACAATGTACATTTGCTGGAAGTTTCAACTGAATTGGTTGAAAAATATTGAAATGACAGACCAATTCCCAGAACTTAGTGATCACCCTGTATGTATGGGTCAGGTGTGACATAAGCACCGCTAGAAACCCAGTATTATCACATTCAAAGGTTAACATGAAACCCCCTCCCATGCGGGGGAGGTCAGTAATTTGAAACACAGTTTTGTGTAAATGGTGGACTTTTGACAAAGTTCTTTGTCACGGAAGTAGCAACTTTTGAAATGCATATTCCTGTTATTAGGAATTTTGACTATAATTGACCAACTATTATTGCTCCCAGGGTGGGAAAGTTAATTCACAAGGTATTGTTCTGGGGAGGGAATTTACCAGTTCAACCTTTGATATGTCAAAATTCCAATCCCTTCCTGAGTTGGGGGTTCTCAGCCAAACCTTTGAATTATGCATTAGTGCCACGCAATAGTGTATGGGAAAATTATAAATGTTATATGGCAAATAATTTAATTTTGGTATGTCTGAAATCCTTGTTATGTATGGTGCACCTGTATCTAGTGTCCACTAGTTAATCCACCAGAGGCTAAATTATGTTCTTTTATAATGCTTGCATTTTAGATAAGTTCATAGAGTTGTTTATTATGTTGTCTGCTTCAAGCATTTCTGACCCCCACACCATCTACATCTCACATCCATGAGGAGAAAGTAATGGACAGATAGGGGGGCTTAATGGGGGAAGGGGGTCAGAGGTCTAATGCAAAACTATGCAGGGTTTATGTGTTTACATATTGGTGATGTTTCAAATTATTCATTAAGCAAGTCAAGTTATTAGCACAGAGTACTCAGAAGTAATACACAGACATACATGTATTATGTAATTTAACCAAATGTAGCAATTTAATTAATGAATCATGATAATTTGAATTATAATTTGATATGAAAAGTAATTGAATTGTTGGCTTCAGCTGTTTGCCTCAACATTTTCTGTTTTGTATTTGAACATGGTTTAAGTAATTGATGTCTTGAAATGTATCTTTATTCTGCAAATACATAACTGACTATACATAAATTGGTATTTGAGTTTTTTGTTTTTGATAGATATAAAGCAAGTGACTTATAGAACTGCAAGTACATAGTAACCAATTTTTAGTCCTTTAATGGCATAATCACTCTGTGAACATAAAACTTTAGACTTTTAAAAAGCCCTTTGTGTAGTCACTGGGGGGTATCGTGATGCAACAACACCGTGTTGTTGCATCAAGATGGCCAGACTTCCGGTGATAGATTTTCGTACGATGTTTTGTTTTCCCAATTTACACCCATTTCTAGGACGAGTTGCTCAATAAACATACACATGCAGTTAGCGCATGATCTATATTTTAAAAAAACGGTCATTGGTTTACATGTAGCATCATCAAGAAGCGATAAATTCGTGGTTTTAGTTCCTCACTATTGATGCAACAACACCACTCTGTTTCTTATCGATGATGCAACAACACCAATGTGCTGATGCAAAAACGCCAATATAATGTATCATTGAACAACAAGAGAAACTGTTTTATGTTCTGTTTACAGGTGTAGGTCGGGACATAAATGAAACGCGTTAGTCAGTGGTCCATGAACGAAACGTATTTTGTTCGGTTTCTTTGTCTATATCAAAGTTAAAAGGATATACAAGGCAAACTAAATAAAGCACTGAATCCTTGGGAGGCAGTCTCATTGATAGGCTTACGTCACAAAAAAACATGGAAGACGGACATTTTGTAAACGTTGATGAAAATAACTATACTAGGCGACAAGTATAGCAAAATACAAATAGAAACTTAAAATTAACATTAATTCACTAACGAGTACGCCGTGATGTGCCAATTACAGAGTTAAGCTACTTGCACTGTCTCCAGATTTTCTAAAAAATATTGCTAACGTGGTTCGGAGAAAAGGTTGTGAAATGAAGCCATGCCGATTGATGATTGTCGTCTATATGTGTATTATTAGTTTACTCGGACTTACAAAACAATTGTAGACCTCTCCATTCAATCAACCGTCAAAATCATATACCTCGACTGTAAACCTTGAAACTACTGTTGACCTCGACCTTCGGTTTCTGTCAACAGTAGTTTTTCGGTTTACAGTCTCGGTATACAATTTTGCCGGTTGACCTCTGGGGAGGCCAACAATTGTAAACTGTTGACCACTACTAGGTACTGTTGACCGCTATTTTTGAAAAATTGTTTTTTTAATGTTGAATTTTTTTTAATTTTTAAAAAACAGTTGTATAAAAAATTACAAGTATTCGACGGCTTGGGGATTTTTTGCTAAAATATGATACCTTTACGTATCAAATATGTTCACGTGATATTCGATTATATATTCGTCCAATTATTATATTATTTGGACTAACAGAACAAATGTTAACCTCTCTTTTCGGTCAACTGGCAAAAGTGTCCTCGATTATTATATTCTTCGGACTGTAAACCTTGAAACTACTGTTGACCTCGACCTTCGGTTTCTGTCAACAGTAGTTTTTCGGTTTACAGTCTCGGTATACAATTTTGCCGGTTGACCTCTGAGGAGGCCAACAATTGTAAACTGTTGACCACTACTAGGTACTATTGACCGCTATTTTTGAAAAATTGTTTTTTTAATGTTGAATTTTTTTTAATTTTTAAAAAACAGTTGTATAAAAAATTACAAGTATTCGACGGCTTGGGGATTTTTTGCTAAAATATGATACCTTTACGTATCAAATATGTTCACGTGATATTCGATTATATATTCGTCCAATTATTATATTATTTGGACTAACAGAACAATTGTTAACCTCTCTATTCGGTCAACTATCCAGGAGTTGTACATCATGTGCATCGTTCTCAAGAGTTGTATAGGATGAGTGTTGGTTAATGATATTTCAGTTATACAATGCTATTATATAAAGGTTATTTACTGAGAGGGATTCAATATTGGTTTTATTCCGAGAGACAATATGATATTTCCCGAGGGCCCGGGATATCTGGGATAACTTTACCCCTATCAATTTACCTTTTTGGGCCCATAATCATATCACTTTTGTTTACCTTTTTACTCAGTCGGAGAGAAGGAATCCAAAGAGAGCAATATATGTGCGTCGTGCAAGATTTCCATTTAACGTGTAACTAAACGGCCTCTCTAATAAAGTCAATTAGACGTTTTTACACGTTGGCTCTCCAAATTGGAGGAAATAAAGAATCATATCATATTATATCATAGATGAAGCAATCATCACATTAACATAAGCTCACGAATGTCACAGTTAAACTGTTTTAGTTATAATTTGATAAACAGTGGTAACGTACATCTATTGTACTAGTTTATCACTGTTCCACAGATGGATGACAGATTATTTCCAATAGCTCGTCATGTTTACCGAGAACGAAAGATGTTTGTCCACCATTTTGAATGATACTAAATGGAGTCAGGGTCATCAAGCTATGGAACAGTGGTTTATGAAAATAGATTGGGTTACTAAAGCTTGCCATGTTAAAGGCGATTGAACTATGTTATAGAACAACGTCCAGTACATTATAATATTTAAAAGTATAAATTTTTGAAAATACATATAAAGGATCTTCGCCCGCAGGACGTGTATTTTGAATGCCTTGAGAAGAACGCAAATATGGGTAATCGGTAACGGTGTTGCAATAGTAGCATTTAAAATTCTGTTCCTCTCGAGATTTATAGTCTTCTGAAATTATACTATCAATTGGTGTTGCTGCATCATTGCTCAAATCTAGAGGAGTGTTGTTGCATCTTTGGTTTGGTGTTGTTGCATCAATAGTGAGGAACTAAAACCGTGAACTTATTGCTTCTCGGTGATGGTACATGTATACTAATGACAGTTTCTTTAAATATAGATCGTGCGCTAACTGCACGTGTATGGTTATTGAGCAACTCGTCCTAGAAATGGGTTTAAATTGGGAAACAAAATATCGTACGAAAATCTATCACCGGAAGTCTGGCCATCTTGATGCAACAACACGGTGTTGTTGCATCACGATACTCCCCAGTGGTAGTGAAGAAGAAAAAAGCTAAAAAAAATTGATGGAAACATCAAGCATTCTAAGTGTTTTTATGAAAAATAGCATGCTCCGTCACAGCGGACAAATCTTTCGATACCAGCCTGTGTATATAGCAAACTAAAAACGATGAACCTCACGGACACATTGTGTATTTGAGAGTTTTAGTGTAACGTCTCATTTATAGATGTCACCTGGATTAAACATGTGACTTCCTCTCTATTCAAAAATCAACATGGCTTCTTACCACTGTCCCGATAGCAAGACTCTACAGGAATATAAAGATGTGGCAAACAAGATTAGAATCCACAGCATCAACGCAACTAATGCCAGTAACTCTGGGTAAGTTTTGAAACGTATGTCAACGTTTTAAGATGTGTACTTTTCAAGGAAACGATGAACGAAATTGTGGCTTTATTTAGGTCAAAGAAAATCCGGCTTTTTTATTGCTTTCATGTTTTTCAGTAGATTTAGTCTTGAATATTGGATACAGTTGTCGATTTTATATTTGTTTTAACTTTAGTTCAAATTTTTCTTACTGAACTAGTAAATCTGTGTTTGTAAAAGTGTTGTCGCGATGTTCCGTCTCTAATTGCTAATCGTACATCGATGCATCAGCAATTTTCAGGTGCAGGCTTAACATCAGGCTCATCAGTGCACATCACATCTTTACATTCTGATCTTGAGAGTCTTTCATAAAACCTTACGTTACACTTCAAAATTCTCAAATGTTCGTCCCTAAAAGCCGGCTTCGTATAAAAAACCTCCTACCTCAACCTCATTCCTTATCCCGTGTCAGGACTATAGTCCTGGGCCGAGCGCAATCTTTTACCTGTACGATTACAGCTTGGGAGAATTATCTACGCCTCTTACACTTAAGATACCTACTTCAATAGTTTCCTTGATATTTTAATTAGCATTCTTTTGGTGTAGTTGAATCCACAATTGTCTGGGTTTATCGGCAGAACAAAGAAATTTTCATTTTTGATCGCAATATTTGCATGTAATATTTATCTTATTTCAACCGTCAAATTCCTCCATTTATTGGTACTTCCGGGCTACTTCCGGGCCAGTCACACGGGGAATCCCCTTTTAAATCCAACCGCCATCTTGAAAAGTGATGGAATCTCTTTCGATGAAAAAGAAAAATGTTCCCGTTCTGCCAATATACCCAGACAATTGTGGATTCAACTACATGAAAAGAATGCTAAAATACCAAGGAGAGAACATTTCAGTTAAAACGTGGAAACCCAAATGGAACTTTTCCAATTCCTATTACTAATGTAAAATTAACCTCTGTGAGTGGAACACCTCCCAAGTAGAACATTATTGGTATAATACCTGTGGTTAACTGTATTTAACCATAAAAGGTAAATATCATAAGCTTTTTACCTAGTTCTAACGATAAATTTTGCTCATTATGATCATGAAAATTACATAAAGATTCTCCAGTGATCTCCCCAGCATTAAAGCAAGTGAGCGCAGCACCCACCTGAGATTTTAAAAACAGGCTTCCGGCCTTCCACCCACCTGAAAATACATTTGCACCCTCTTGAACATGTCATGAAAAATCATGTAAAATGGGCATGTTTTGACCAATTTTGGACTGAATTGTGAAAATGAGAATTTTGCACCCACTTGAGAAAAATAAATTCCTGGGGAGAACACTGTAATCTCAATGAGTTATTTTGAGAATTTCTATTTTCTAATTATACCATATAGATATCAGAGTTCTGATTTCGGAGTTCTGAAAGAAAGAATTAGCTTAAAAGAGTGCATTTTTAGGTCCAAGATTGCAATGCATGGCTATTAAGATTGGGATAGTTTGACCCATTCTGTTGTATTTTGCTTCTGTATTTGATTTAGGAACATCAAGTAGCCCTCCCTGAATGCAATAGAACACTTCAATTACATTATATTTCCAAGCTCCCGTTGCTCAGTGGTGACATTGTTATAATCTCTTTTTTGTAGATGGTGTTCAGCAGCTGATGTTTGAAGTTGCTTCTGTAACAAATGGCAGGTGATGATATTTTGCATGTCAATGCCTTGTATTTAATTGTTGGGGGACATGTCTCTACTCATGATATAATGAGCAATTTACAATATATGCCTTGAATGTTATATTTGTAGTCACCCTACATCATGTGCTTCCATGGCTGAAATTATGTCAGTGTTGTTCTTCAATGCTATGAAATACAAGGTGTCCGACCCCAGGGGGCCTCATAATGACAGGCTAGTGTTGTCTAAGGTAAGAAGTAATCTTTGTAGATTTGTAAATATTTTATTACATGACATCAAGCAGTTGATACAATCATCACAGTCATATGATTAATAAATGGAAAATCCTATTTGAATGATCTTAATACAATAGTCCAGATGCGAGTAGAAATAATCTTGATTTACATTATTAATTATTCAAAAGTCAGTTTAAAGTGATATCATATTTGAAATCTACATGTAAGATTAGATCTAGAAATGAAGTTTTAAAAGGGGTTTATCAACTTTGAAAATTTAGTTTTCTTTAAAAATGTGACTTCCAGGCTGGGGAGATTCCCCATAGCCAATGTAATTAAATCACAAAAAGTGAAATCCCTTTTCTTGAATTCTATTGGACAGATAATTTTTTCTTTTACTGGACATATTTTAATTTGTATAACTATCGGATACATAAGGGTAATATGAATATTGAACGACTAAAACTGATGAATAAGTTTTTAAGGGAACTTTCTAAATACATGCCATGTTATTTCCCCCAAATTAGACACCTGGTGGCGAAATTGGTAACTACCTACTGGCATCTGGGTAATTAAGAAATAAAACAACTAAATGTCATTAGTTTTAAACATCTAGACTATTTTAGACATGGGTGTATAATTTAAGACATATTTTGTTATGATATAGTAGACACTTGACTAGTCTCAAATCCAATGACACGAATGTGACGTCTAATATGGCTTAAATCATAATATTAATAATCCTCTTAGGTGAACATTGGTATTAAAAGTATGATCTTATATAGACACATGTGTTGTAATAAATGAATTTTATTCAAGTGTTATACTTAGACATGTAGGCATATTTTTGTTGTCCATAAAGCTTTTGTTTTTAAGCTTTATAAGTTGTATAGTGAAACCTGTATATCTGAACACCTGGCTAATCTGAACACTTTTTTGGTCCAATTTTTTCCTCCCATTGACTCCTATGTGAAGAAAACCTTGAATTTAGAACACTGAATTGTCATAATTGAAAAAATTAACCTGTCCATTCTGAGCACCTTTCATAAAATATCACATTACATGTTTCTTACAAATTTGCTCAAATATTTTTGAAAAATATTTGAAAAAAAAAACATTGAATGGTCTCAATCATAAGTCTTTTGTGTTCACATTTCTTCAAAATCCAGAAAATTGTGAATGCGAAAACCTTGAAATGTGAACACCTGATCCAAACACTTTAAGCTGGTCCCAATGGTGTTCGGATTAGACAGGTTTTACTGCACTGTATATATATTAGGCTATATATTTTGTAATTGCATGAAACCTCTGTCACCCCCTCCATCTTTGTTTGTCTAATAATAGATAATGAGGCAAGAAAAGTTTGACTCGGGGGGGGAAAAACTGCTATACTGGGCAAATGCCTCATAATGTTATGTACATTTTATATATTTCCAATGTTTCTATACTTTCAGGGTCACGCTGCACCAGGACTTTATGCTGCCTGGGTGGAAGCTGGCCTCCTAACAGAGAAAGATATATTGAACCTCAGGAAAATTGACAACGATTTGGAAGGACATCCAACACCAGTAAGGACATTGTAGAATTATGGAGAATAAAAATCTCCACGTTAGGGTAGGCTTTCAAGATTTGGTGAACTTACCCCTGACATTTTAAACCATTAACCAACCTTATGTTATTGTATATTTCAAAAATACAAAATATTTCAGAGACTTAACTTCATAGATGTGGCTACAGGATCCTTAGGGCAAGGACTCAGTTGTGCCGCTGGTATGGCATACACAGGGAAATTCTTCGACAAAGCTAGGTAAAGGCCAGTTCATTAAATAGAGGGTTTTTAAAGGAGATATGGTTGTTCAATGCATATTGCTTATACTTTTGCCATTTGAAATAACCATTCTTGTTGTCGTTATTACTTCTGCTGCTCTTTTCAGCTTGCTCCCAAAAGATTGCAATATTAACTGAAATCACTGCAATTCATAGAATAAAAACAACATGAAAATATGAATAAGTGATTGGATTAAGTAGATATTATTTGATTTGAAAAAATCTGACTATTTCTTATGTGATTCAGCTATCGTGTGTATTGCATCATCGGGGATGGAGAAAGTGCAGAGGGTTCAATTTGGGAGGCACTCTCGTTCTGCAGCCGCTACCAGCTGGACAATATAGTAGCCATCTTTGATATTAACCGTCTTGGACAGAGTGAACCTACAGGTCTACAACATGATATGGAAACTTACAGAGCTAGGCTAGAAGCCTTTGGGTATGTATAAGAAATCACATTAGCCGGTATGTATAAGAAATCATATTAGCCGGTATGTATAAGAAATCACATTAGCCGGTATGTATAAGAAATCACATTAGCCGGTATGTACAAGAAATCACATTAGCCGGTATGTATAAGAAATCACATTAGCCTATTATTGCATGTACTAATTGTTTATGACCTTTTTGTGAGAATGACAGTGAAAGCTATATTGAAATAGTGATTTTACTGATATTTCATAATCTGACATATGTAAATGTGCATTCATTAATTTAAGGGGCATCAAAATTGTCCCATCCATCTGACTAAGCCTCTATAAGGATATGTGATGTGAATTTCAGCTGGAACACATATGTAGTTGATGGGCATGATGTAGGTACCCTGTGTAAGACATTCCACGATGCTTCAACCGTAAAGGGAAAGCCAACTGCCATCTTGGCCAAGACATTCAAAGGCAAAGGAATGCAAGGTGGGATTTTCTTAGATTTTAAAGCATTAGCATGGATTAGTGAATGTGTTCATGTAAAACATCTGGGGATCTGTATCATTTTAAAGCCCCCTTACATATGATCAAATCAACTAAAGAGAGCCTTGCAAATGGGCTAAATTGTCAATTCTGGCGATTGGAAAATCGTATTGTGAATTCGACCAGCTTATTTATGTATACTCCCTGATAGGACCACAGCCTCATAGCGTGTATGTTTTCATAATAGGAATTGAGGATGAGGAGAACTGGCATGGTAAGCCCATGGGAGGAAAGGCAGAGTCCATGATAGAGGCAATCAAAGCTAACATAGTCAACCAGGGTCCACATACACTCACCATCCAAGCCCCAGTAGAAGATGCACCAGCTGTAGATATTACAAACATTAAACTCTCTGACCCACCAGCCTACAAAAGGTCTGACAAGGTATTATGCTTTTCCAAGACTTATATTCTTATTTGTTCGTTTTGGTGAAAAATTGTAGGTTTTGTTGGCAGGAAATGACCAAATACTTATTTTCTTCATAATATTAAAAAGCTCCTTCCTTTTTGCATAACACCAGGCTTCTTTAAGAAAACAGATAAGAGTCATTTTCATTCTTACGAAAAACGTAATTCAAAGTTCAATACCTGAATTGTTTCAAATCTTGCTGTTAAATTATACTGCATTTCACTCTGTTGTCTTATAATGAGAAATGATAAATTGTAACAAATATTGTAATTCAGGGTGAGTCCTAAATAGTATTGACTTTTCACGAGTAGATTCATCAACATTATTCATAATCTTTATCCTAGGTTGCATCAAGACTGGCATTTGGCACAGCCCTTGCAAAACTAGGCAAGAACAACCCACATGTCATATCTATGGATGGCGACACCAAGAACTCAACATTCGCACAGAAATTCAAGGTATATACTCTTCCTATAAACATTGTTGACTCTGATAAAACAAATGTCTATTATAAGATAACTGCAGCAAAATCGATCATGCAAAAACCAGAATGTTGACACATATAATCTGCAAATTTCGGAAAGCATCACCTTCAAGGAATGGTAATTCCACATTGCACAGAGTCCGGGGCTTAAATCCTTAATTCAAAGAACTGCCTCCAGATTACTGATTCTCCTCTGCCTTCCTTAACCTGAATTATTTTAATGATTTATTTCCATAGTAAATATAACTTACATCTATACATGTTGCCACTTTGCAGAACAGCATTATAAGTCACAAGTAAGGAAGTTGTAAAAAGAAAGTTGGCAATGAATTCGTTTGCTTAACCTGAATTGTTTACATTTCTAGGATGCCCACCCTGACAGGTTTATAGAGTGTTACATTGCTGAACAGAATCTAGTTGGTGTTGGTATAGGTTGCGGCACTAGAGGGCGCACTGTACCATTCTGTAGCACATTCGCAGCTTTCTTCACAAGAGCATTTGATCAGATTAGGATGGGAGCTATTTCTCAGACAAATTGCAACTTTGTTGGATCCCATGCTGGCATTTCTATAGGTATGTGCATTATAGGGTTATCATACATGAATGCAGTCATGCACTGATTTTACATATAATGCATAGGTTCATTGGCGTAGCCAGGATTCGGTGACCAGGGGTTCTGTGTTTTATGTTATCCACAAATCTCCCCCTTCATTGGGGTTCCTCACATAAAACCATTTTTGTATTTTTCATACAGGGTGGTCAAAAATGGTAACTCTGTATTTTCCTCATATCTTTTTGTCATTTTCAATTTCCTATTAGCCTACCATATTTCATGACCATCAGACTGATGGTCACAATGTTACAACACTTTAAACAACATGCCCCAGGTGTGACCATCATCGCACTTAGGTAAACCTGCACAAGTTGTCTATGACCCAACTGCAATCCTCAGTATGTATGGCCTGAATGACAATTATGATCTCCTTTTTGAGGTCTGTAATTGTCCTGTCCTGTACACCTTATCTTTGGCATATCCCACAGGTAGAAGTCAGATAAGAACATTTTGGACGACGGTTGCAGGTTTGCCCAAAAGCACAATATTGACCTTTGGAGCATGTTGTTTAAGTGATGTAAACTATCGACCTGATGGTCATGAAATATTGTAGGCTGGTAGAAGATTGAATGATGTACACTTGTACCAAATATCAGGGAGTGCTTTTCTAAAATGACAAAGATATAATGAAGGAGTGAAGGAGCAGTTTTACAGTTCATTTGCAATGAAACGATGAAATGAAAACAATGAGTATAAAAATGATTATACCAATTCTTATACCATGTTTTGCCAAAAGCAAATGATCCTAACTTTTCGCATTAAACCATTAAGATTTTGTACACATGAATTTAAATAGCTGTTCTTGACACCTAGGATTAAATGTCTATTCTTGTAATTCTAGGTGAAGATGGTCCATCCCAGATGGCGCTAGAAGACTTAGCAATGTTCCGTACAATCCCAGGATCCACTGTGTTCTACCCCAGTGACGCTGTATCATGTGAGAGAGCAGTTGAATTGGCAGCCAACCTACCTGGTGTCTGCTTCATCAGGACCAGTAGGCCAGCCACTGAACAGCTTTATGAGAATGAGGAACCTTTTGTCCCAGGGAAAGCAAAGGTTTGTTAAGTGACAATCCGTATATAGTGCACTGAAAACATTGAATTGTCTCATCATAGCTTGTTGTTATGTATAAGATCACCAATCAACATGTTAAATCTAGTTTGAGTTCTGAGTAGCTGAGAACTGAAAATCTTTAGAAAATATATTTCTTTAAAATTTTGTTGAATTAATTACTCCTCTGTGTGCCTATGCATAAACTCTCTTTTTTGTTTAATAATACATGTAACACATTTTTGTTTACAGGTAGTCCGTAAAAGTGACACAGATACAGCATTGGTTCTGGGGTGTGGTATAACACTCCACATGGCCCTGAAGGCTGCCGATGCCCTTGCTGAATCAGGGATAAATGTACGTGTAATGGATCCATTCACACTGAAACCATTTGATGCTGAAGCTGTAATAATGAATGCTAAGGCCACTGGTGGGAAGATAGTAACAGTGGAGGACCATTACCCTGAAGGTGAGTGCTAAAAATGTTCATTGTTGAAATTGTGTGGGATGGTACTCCTCATGGGAAAAACCAAATCATAAATAAAAAAATAGAAATTTGGAAGGGATGTGAAACTATCTATTCGCTAGTCAGTTCGATATCTCAAATATTATACCAGTGTATGTGTTTCATAAGCATGGGTTTCTGTGGTTGATTTTACCAAAATTGCCTGTTTCTATGTTCAAATTATAATTTCCAACAATTTTTATTTCAAAAATGAATGGCTTTTTGTTATTGTCTCAGACTTTTTTGTGGCAACGTTTAAAGTGTTCGGCCGTGAGAGTCTGTAACAAATGGCAGGTGGTGATATTTTGCATGTTAATGTTTATTCTAATTTGTAATCATTTCCTGTTGTCAGAAATTCTAATGAGACCCTTGAAGTGGATTCCTTTATTGTTGTTAATAGGAAATACAGTATTATCATTGCTATTATTCCAGGTGGTCTTGGTGAGACTGTCATGTCAGCAGTGGCAGGGGAGCGTGATATAGTTGTCAAGCAGCTAGCTGTTCCCAGGATACCTCGCAGTGGAAAGCCTGATGAGCTCTTTGAAATGTTTGGAATTAGCCCTAATCATATCACAAGAGCGGTTAAGGAGGTCATGAAAATGTAATCATTAACAGTCAAGGATTGAATAGTCAAGGAGACCACAGTTATGAACTGAACAATCAAAGACATCAGCTTTAGTGACTTACCAAATCTCATCAAACATTATTATAAACTGCACCCCTCCCCTCTAATTGTAATATGATATAATCTTCTTCAATGAGTTTCACTGTCTCGAACATGGTGTCCACCATACTAGTGTTCAGAATTGATGTATCACCAGAGAACTAATACTAGTAATAACATTGACTTAACATGGTTAGAGTTGTAAAAGTTAAAATCAGGGGCACAAATAATAAATTATGTAGTCCTGTATTCTTAAATGTCTATATTGATTAGCAAGCCAGAGATATTAAAAAGAAACTTGTCTTCATGTCTTCCATAGGCTGATAGGAGGGGACCATTTAGATTAAGGACAGTGTGTGGAGATAGAGCCCTAGGCTATACGTATCATTGGAGTAATGCTAATTGCATAAATACTAAATATGCATATGAAACTAGTCCTGCTTCAACGCCCTGGAACCCCCCCCCCCCCCATATGTACTTAAACAGTTGTAAAGTGGATAAGAGGGGGTCCAGTTCTTGAAGCAAGACTAATATGAAACATGTTATGGAATGTACAGTCTGTACATGTATGTAGTAGTTAAGTTTGGTTTTGATGCTCATTCTTGGGTCTCCTTATATAGAAATCATGCCAAAAATATCTTATTGTTAAAGCTTTAGAAGTAATAACAGTTTTTACAGAAATCTAGAGATTGATACTCAGATTTTCTATAGGACTACTTAACGTATCATGAAAGGATGTGTCCGGATATATGCCCTTTTGGTCCCTCAGTCAAATGTATGTGAAATATGGTTTTTATTACTGTCCTAGTTATATTTGATAAGTATATTTACTTTTTCACGAGTTTTGATGCATAATTAACCCCCTGCTGAGAGTCGGAATAAGTATCTGAACAAATAAAAAAAGGGTCATTATCATAGAAAAAACACCAATGGCAACATGTATGACATACAAAGAAGAAATAACTAAAGACCCATGAAGAATTAAAAAGAAAATCATATTTATGAAATGCATTTAAGGATTAAATTTTTTTTCAAATTTTTGAATTTCCCGCCAGTTTAATTTGAAGGGGGAAAACCAAGATGGCTGCCATTTTATGTAAGAAATATCAGAAAAAAAGTTGCTTCACTTTTAGTTTTCACAATGAGCACAGTTTTCCGGTTTAGGTTTTTTGACTGATTCTGACTCTTCATCACCAGGGTCATGTATAGAGATTATAAAATTGAAACCGAAATGTTGTGCTCAGCATGAATTTGACTGAAATATGTGTAACTTTACCAACACAATTGAAATCCCAAAACTGGATGCTCAGTAACTTTGAGTGACTATAATCCCTTGATTACCCAGATAAACACTGATTCACTTATTCAGAAATACCATTCAATGTCTATACAAAGAAAGTAAGCAATGTTTTGGAGGATATGTTTCAAACTTTTTGTATAAATAATTAATTTAATATTTGCCATTGATTTTTTTCAATTCTGACACAGTGATATGCACTGTCTTTGATGCCAATATTCTTCATCAAATGTGATACAAATTGATATTTTTGTACTCTCAGAAGAAGGATAAGATATTGAAGTTTAATAATATGTGTGATTGAGTTGGTTTTTCAGACATTACAAATTTCAATATTTTCTAAGTCGATACCCAGACTCATTCCCAGACTCATCCTTTCTTGTTGAATGTATATTTTCTATAGCTTATGGAAAGCTAGTTAAGTTCGAATCAGGGAAGCATACTTTATTTCAGTGAAGTTTTAGTTTTTACATGAATTTTACACCGAAATGAAGGGTACTTTATTCCATGTGTATAATGAACCTATATTTAAGACATACCTTGACAGGTAAGTTTTGTATTCCAAGGTGTATTCTATATACATCCTTGAGTTCAATGATAATCTTGATTTAGTAACTGTTGGGACTATGATTTCAATGTGATTTTTGTTACAATTTTGTACTTGCATGTAAATTATGCATGAACAATGAAGGTAATAAATATTGTAAGACCAAATTAAAATACTCAAGAATGAAATCATGTTTTTCAATTTTTTGGGATTATTCACTCGCTAGTCATCTTCATGGCTCAGTAGACTTGGAGCAATTAAGGTAGTCGGCAGTTGGTGGATTCAGGGGTGGATCTGGGAACCAACAAGGGGGGACCCAAACTTCTGGTCTGAGGTGGCCCTAAAACCAAAAAGTGGGCCCAAATTTCGAAAATTAGGCCTTAGAAGGCCCATTTATGACCAAAAAGGCCTACCTTTTGGGGCTTTTAGGCCTTTTTTGGCACAGGTTACATTGATTATGTGGTGTTAAAGGTAAAGGGTTAAAGCATCAAAAGGCAAGACTGAAATAAAAATGGTTTATTGGGGAGAAAACTTTCATGTTTTGGCTACATGACTATGCAAAAAATGTCTGAAAATATTGATTGGTTTGTCTATGCTGTTGATATACTTTTGGGTACATTTTTTGAGACACCCTATATTTGTACTTAATTTTGATGGACTTAATGAATTGTATCCAGTAATGTCCTTTTTATTAATGTATTTTTGTTGCATTTCGGTACATAAATAACAACATATTAGAAAAAATACAAAAGTTGAAAAATGGTTTTGTGTCCAATAATAAAAAAAAAGTTAGTTACCTATGATTTTTATTTTCTTAATTGACTTCAATTATTAAATGTTCCAGTGTGCAAAAATAAAAGATCCGGTCATCAATGGTGACCATACAATCTCTCAATACCACACTCCCCTAACATATAAGGGTTCAAAATGTTTTTTAGCTTCAGGAAAAAACAAAGTCATGGCATCTTCTTTTTGTTGTTAGGTTATAAACTGAAGCATAATTATGTCAGTCATTTTAATACAAAAATATATATTTACACTTAAGTTTTTTTTTATTTAATGTAACTATCCAACATTAATATTAGAGGGTTGGCACTAAATACCCATAAGAGGAATATCAGTGCATATATCAAACATTGAAAATATTGTTCATTAAAAGCAAGAATTATAACATCATGCTACTTCAAGTAATAAAATATCAAAATATATACGATATTTGTGTGCTCAAAGATAATTCAAAAAAGTTATTTCAGGCCTCCGGGTATACATCCATCAGAATATGAAGGACCAAGGCTTGCTTGAGCAGCCTTTAGCACAGAATATATATTATCCCAATGAATTTCATTCATTATAAGAATAAACAAATTCTATCCAGGCTATTTTGTTCACCTTGTGTCATTGTTGGCACTTCTTTTACATGATGCATGTACATTCATTCCAACAAGCATGGTTTTACATGTTTTGCATCTTCCGCTATTATCCTTCGTTCTGATTCGTTTGCGAGGTGAGTCTGGGGCAGTAGGTCGTCCCCCGTTATTATTCTAAAAAGTTATAAGTTTTCAGTTAAAGTAAAGTATCATTTATATTAAATACCATTATAATAAAACATGATATCTAAGTACAGGGTGGTCCAAAAAAATGGGACACTTGTATTTCAAAAATAAATATTGATTTTCTCGATGAAAACATGTCATATACCAATTGATAGGGAATTAACTCATCTTTAATTTGGTATATCATAAGTTTAAATTTATTATAATATCTGTCAACCAGCGTCCATAACATAAATGACCTCATTTTCGTTTCAAAACGGGTTTTCCAAAACTTGCAAAAACGAAGTTTACATAAACAGACGTTCAATATGTCCACCATTTTGATCAATTGTAGCCCTCAATTTTGGCCTAAACTGGTCAATAGCATCATTGATATGCTGTTGAGACAATGAATTTCACTTCTCAATAATTCTGTCCTTAAGGGACTGAATAGATGGATGTAAAGGATCTATGGTACACTAATTCTGTTAGTTCTCCCCATATGTGGAAGTCGCAGACTTTGGGTGATCGGGTGATCTGGGGAGGCAGTGATTAAGGGGGGATGAATCTAGGCACATTTTCTTTTAAACATTTGACACTCTTGTGGGATCTATTGATTAGAGCCCCATCTTGTTAGAAAATGTAATGATTCCAAAATGAGCTCATATCAGAATGGTCCAAAAACAACATAATTGGATCATCCGATATCAATGTCTGTAACAACGACATATTGGGAGAATTATCAGAATTGGTTTATCATAAATCCCTTACATCTACTCAGTCCCTTACTAAGGATAGAATATCAATGATGCTATTGACTAGTTTAGGCCAAGAAAATCAATATTTATTTTTGAAATATGAGTGTCCCATTTTTTGGACCACCCTGTATATTTAATGGCCGCGCCTGGAGAGCCTTAAAGTTTAAGGCTCTCTAGCCAAAATGCTAAAGAGCCTTAAAATTTAAGGCTCTTTAGCATTTTGATAGCCAATTCTGCTAGAGAGCCTTAAAGGAATTACAGGCTACAGAAATGACGAAATATTGCTTCTGGGACAAGATCAAATGACTTTGACATATTCTATACCCAACCTATTTTGTAATTGAACAATCAGCACAAATATACATACCATATTAGCAGATATCGGACAAATTCAAAAAGAAATTTTTTTTGATCGATAAAATCACTGATTATTAAACCGGAAGTGTCTTCTCTGAGGTCCGCGAAGATGAAGAAGATAACATAAACATATAAAGATCACAGTCATTTCAACTAACTTTGCCGTCGATTTGATTTACATGGTTTTAAATGATCTTCTAATGCTATACTATTCTTCTATTAGTACTGTTTTGACTTCCCCACTTCATAAAAAAAACATTATCACTTTTTGCTCGACTTATAAATTTACCTCCGGTCTACCGAGAGAAATAAAAGAATGTTTTCAATCCTCAGTCTAAATTTGGCTTTTTAAAGGTTCAAACATCGATTTTGAAAAGTAAATGTTTGATTGTTTCATGTTCATGCATATATCGAAAATATATGTCTCTGGTTCACCAGAGAAGGTGTAAGACAAGGCAATCACATATAGCCAGAAAAATGTTATTTTTTCCATTTTATCCACTATAAATCGCAACGTCCGTTTAGTAAAGATTTTGATGTATAGACATTTATTGATGGATTGGAGGCTAGGATAAAAATGTTGTTGTTGTGTTGCATAAGCCGCTGTTTCCTCGACAGTTCACCTCTTGTACTGTAAATTTTCTTTGTGCTCTCTCATGTTCTTTTAAAAATTCTCACTTGTGAGGAAAATATTATGCAAAAATAGCAAAGCCAATACAAGTGATTAATTTCATTAAACATTGACGATTGAGCGATGGAGCAAGCCCAAGAATTCTAGAAAAAAATGTGTACATAATTTCCGGGCCTCATAGAACAAACTTCCGGCTTGTTATTCAAAATAAAAAGTGCTCCGTCAGGGAATCGAACCCACGCCGCAGAAGTGGAAAGCGAGCACCCTAACCACTATACCAGAGTGTTTTACCATGACAGAAAAAATCTTTTTGCAACTCTATATTGATATACAATTATAAACACAAAGGCTCTCTAGCCAAAACACTATGTTCACAGCTAAATAGCCTTAAATTTTAAGGCTCTTTAGCATTTTGGCTAAAGAGCCTTAAATTTTAAGGTACTCCAGACACTTCGATATTTAATACACATGCATAGGATACAAAAAAATCACATGGTGCCTTTTTAATGTTATAATCAGTGCATTTCGTTTTCTGGAACCAACTTATCTCGAATTATGTAAGCTTATTCTAACCTCAAGGAGAATTTCTTTCTAACCCAAAGGAAAATTTCGGTTTCATTGCTAGGTATTATTTAAACTGTACTTTTACTAATTTAATTACTGAAAAGTATAATTTACCTTTGCTTCATCAATTGAAAATTTGTGTCTCTCGTTCGTTCTGTGGAGCTTGACCGTTTTGAGGAGCTTGGACATACTCATGGGTAGATTGACTTGGCAGAAATCTTGAAAGTTTTTGTGAAATCCAGGTTTTAAGATCATCTCTGTATATACATGTAATCACCGAAATAATTATTGCAGTAATGAAACATCCCAAAAATGTAAGCGCAATCCCCTGGACACAGGAACATTCTAATTTGTTAACATCCACGCAATTGTTATCTCTAACTGTTGTTGTTGGTAATGTTGTTGAGACTGAAGGAAGAACTGGTGATTCGCGTTCATCGTAATGTAGGGCATAAACATCATATCTTTTTCCATCTGTTACACCATATTTGAAATCATAATCTTCATCAAGTTTATCACATTCTCGTAGTTCACATACAACACTATATGAATCACTGAAATAGTTTATCACAGTGTAATTAAGCTCACAAGCATACAACATACACTGTCTCAAATCTTTTGCTTCTGGGATTTTTCGTTTAAGTGTACAATTAGACATCTGTCTCTGAGCCCCGATACTCCTGATTCTAAATATCGATGAGCCACAGTTTGGTGTACCAGGATGGGGAACATTCAACCATTCTGTTAAAGGTTCATCAGGTTTGGGTATAATATTGTCATCATAGTATTTCCAGTCGGTACCTTCTGCGTTACTTTCACACTTTGAAGCCAGAATACGTCCAAAATTTGCTGCATGGTTTTGAAATGTGTTGGCTCCCAACTCACACATCAATTCTGAGTTTTTAAAAATACTTGAATTCTCATATGTACTTAGAATTAGTCCACAAACTGGTTGTATCATTGGTAGCATGACAGAGTCACTCCAAGTCATAGAATTACATGATTTGGAAGTGTCAAATCCGCTGTGACACAACCCGTAAATCTGAATGTCAATATTCTTACTTCCTATGGGTCTCAAATCGTAATCATCATTTGCTGCATCCCATTGACAGTGCATTGGTTCACATTGAGGAGGTTCAGTGCTATCGATATAGTTAAAAATATTTGCTTTTTCTTCACAAGCCCTTTCCATACATTCTTTCAGGTTGTTTACTTCATTGTTAGATGTTGTTTGACATCCAGCTTTCATTCCCTTTTTACTCGGTCTTTTAGCAAAGTATGATGAATAACATTTTGGAGTGTTTGGATGTGGAAAAATATAGACCTGTCCAATACGATCTGTTTGGTTTTCTTCCCAATCCCATGTGATATCCCAGTCAGTGTCATTTGCATTTGATCCACACCTGTGGGCCTGGCATTGAAATCCCTCTTCATAGTAGATTACATTGGCTTGTAAATCACATGCAAATCTAAAGCAATGTTGCACTGTTTGCAATAGCCTGTTGGTGAGAATCCCTACTGGTCTTCTGGCGCTGCAGCTTGGATGCATTTTTAATTTATCACCATAATGAGCAAGTTTCATGAAGTCACCTGAAATGAAATAGTTGAATAGGAAAATGATATAGTTGATTTGGAAATTGAAATAGTTGATTAGGAAAATGACATAGTTGATTAGGAAATAAAAGACAAAGGTAGATTGATTGAACATGACTGAAAGCTGATTGCCACTTAATATTTTACAAAGATTTATCTAGCGAATGTTAAAAGTTGTTGGATCAAATATTATAAAACATAAATATCTTGTGTCTGCATCGCTACTTGGATCTACTTTATGCATATTTGTCATAAGTTTGAATAGCAAAGTGGCTTATCAACATTCGATGTTGTGAAAAGTTAAATAAATATTTCAAAATACAGAAATATAGCCTATATGATTGTGCTTAATCATACACGCCATATGTATGAGTAACTTACATGATTTTTGGGTATCGTTCCCCATGACATTTAGACTCATCCAAATTACTAAGAGTGAAACTTTCATTTTTACTTGGTTAAGTATCAGATGTACTACTACGTAAGTTTATAAATTGAACTTATTTAAGCCACATACAAACTACTTGACTTCATTCAAAGATTTTAGTCTCAACTTTATTTTAGAGAATATATGACTCATAAAAAACATGTGACCAATAAAATGCGTGATGACTAATAAAAAGAGTGCATGATAAATAAAATGTAAAGCGGGGTTTTCGAAGGGTAAATAAGACATATAAACTTTTACCCTTTTCATTCAATCGTTTATTCAAACACTAGGCCTGTAAGCTTTTCATTCAAACATTTTTCCCTTGTACACTTGTTTGTTGAAGTTTATCATAATGGTGTACGTGCAAAGTGAATTTTAGGAAAGGGATGCCCTTATTTTTGAACATTTTCTTAATAAATTGAAGTTACAACATACAATAGTCAACATGAACTTGAACTCATCATGTGTCTTTATTCATATGTTCCAGTGGCCAATGGATTATGGAACTGGCACTGGATCAGATAAAACAATTGTAAATTATAAGTTTGTTCGTAAAAATGTCCTACCTAAAAATGGGTTTTTACAGTACAGTAAAAATGTGTCCCTTCTATTTTCTATTAGTTCATCGCTACATTTTACATCAAAATGATCTTGCACTTCTCAAATCTTCTTGATGGCACAATTTGTTGAAAAAAGTGATACCTTTTCACAAAATTCAGCATATATCTGACATTTTGAGTCATATCATCATGAAGACACTTCTTAAAGAATTCAAAGAAATTATATTTATATGTAAAATGTACGAATTGAATGGTGTGTACGAAGTGCAATATGATATTGTTATTATTAAATATGTCCTTGCCCCTCTATATATACACGCTCTTCACAATAAAAAAAATTTATTTCTCTGATCCGAATTCTTCCACGTATTTTTGAAAAATGAAGTGTGAGGTACAGTCAGATGATAATATTGATAATTTCATTACGACTGAGCTCAACAAAATGACAATTTTTATTCAAAATGATGTGCTTTCAAGAACATTTGAGAAGTTCGAGATTCTTTAGACATAAAATGTAGCAGCTAACTAATATAGATATAGGGACACATTGTGTAGCATGGTGGATGTTTCTACGAGAACCAAAGGCTCATTCATGTATTCTTTCAAAATATCAAATTTAATGAATACTACCACATGATACTTAACAATAACAAATCATGTACACTTTCTGTTGTACCACTTGTTGAGAATTGGGTGTGGCAAATACAAGATGTACTTGATCAAAAATTTTATAATAGGTATCATCAGGTGTCACCTCTCTTGAATCATCAAATTTACATTTGCTGTATTTATCATTATTTGTCATTCCAAAGATTTAAGTCCAAGTCCTTCAAAGGATGGTATTTATAGATGGCAGTCTGTCATATTATGGCTTTAACAAGCCAATAATTGATTAATCTTTTTCCTGAATTACGAGTTCAAGCACAGGTCTTGAATAACATACATAGGTTTTGAAATAATACTAGGCTTTATATCTGATCCTATCTACTTGGAATCCTATGTACTACACCAAAGTTTTAAAACAACAAAAATTCAATTTTTTTGTTCAATCCCAAATATTTATATTTCTAAAGTATAAACCCCCAAATATCATAATATTTTTGCATTTATCATGTTTTTTATTCAGACTTTGATAAAACTTTCTTTTCTGTAACAACAAAGCTTCTACGCAATAAGCAGATCAATGATCTTTCTTTTAAGTAAGAAACATTTCTAAGTTTTGATATTTTCAGAAAAGAAGGTTTGAATTTTGTAATCACAGTGCATCAATATAGAGAACAGTGATATCAAGAACAGAATGTAGATTCAAGATGAACATACACAAGAACATGTTCAAGAAGCAAACTTTAAGCAACGCTATGACTAGTTTTCACCTCCATTGTACATTGTACTGTGTAGGTCCATCCCAAAAACATGTCAACAAAAATTCATCTCTGACATGTGTCAAAAAACATTTTCTGCTATTTTTGAAATTATTGTTTGGCCCAATTCTCAAATTTTCTGAAAGGATCTGGTAAGTTCAGAGTTACCATGACATAAGTTTACAGGTTGTCATGATTTTATGTCTGGGGGTACAAACTACACTTCATGTATCATTTACTAGATCTCTCAAAGTATCACACCATTATGATACCAATACACATAAGTGTAAGTGGTAGTATATTGATTAAAAATATTTAAGAAATATTTTTGGAACATCAAAATCATGTGATAAACAAAATGATATACATGTATTAATATCCATATAGCCATGGAGTATTTTATAATGTCCCTGGTCACATGTTTCATAATAGACTATATGATTTTTCAGATTTTCTTTATTTTTAAAAACATTCTGTTAAACAACCAATCTCTAATATAAGTATTATGTCAGTAAAATAAATAAAATAATACTTGATTTATATATCATAACATGCATAGTACATATTTAGTGTGTAGGAACTTAAAGGATTGGTATCGATATGGTGAACTTTTTGAACACACGTTTCTCTTAAACCAGTTATCAAAAAATTCTGAAAATTTTACACATCGTCAATTTAATAGTCATCTTTTGAATGGTAACAATATGATTTGAAAAAATATATACTGTATAAACTTTTCTCTATATTGTTTTTAAAAACACATCAGACACTTCTTTTTTTTGTTCTTGGTATCATATGTTCGGAATGAAATGAGACATCTATCCGAACCTCATTGGAACAAAATGACATAAACACAACATGTTTAGGTATCCCAATATTGCAATTGCCCAAAGGAAAGTTTGGTGGATCTAAAAAAAGTATCTTGTTAATGGAATAAAAGGTTTACCTTAATTTTTTTCTATTTGGGGGTTTTTGTTTTAATTTTTTGAATACTTTTTGTTAAATCTACCAAAATGTCCTTTGTAGGTCTAAGAAAATGTCCTTTGAGGTCTAAGAAAATGTTGGACGAGATATTTTATTTCATTCTCAAGAATTGGCAGAAAGGAACAAAAAACAATTGTACTAAAAAATAAAAAATGTTAACAAAAATAGATATAAATAATTTTCGCATTAAATTATTGTCAATCAGTCAACATTACATAAAGGACCGTGTTTTTTTACAGAATGTTTTCAGTCATTGGTTTAAGAGAAAACATTGTTAAATTCAGTTCACCATATTGATACCTATCCTTTATAGCGTCTAACTTGATAACACGTTAAATCAACTGTATAAGTAAGCCTTGGCTACTCATGATGCTGTATCAAAAAAAAGAATTGGTTCCCGATTCATCATATTATCAATTTACACCACCTTAAAGCATCTACACATATTATGCCAAAATTCATACAATGCATGATTTTAGGTTACATACATACATATGATAATACATATGAATACAGGAACAGGTTCACCATAATACTTTTGAAAACTATTTTTCACAATTTGATAATACTCTGGATATCAGAAGTATTATGCATTTTTTAATAATAAATGAGAGTAAAATATTTGATTAACATCTCAAATGCTGTATAAAACCTGAGTTAAAATCCTCATTACTAAAATTATGCAACTCTTGCCTAAGCCTCATGGTCTGGTTATACAAATAAATACATTCAAACAAGTTATCAAATAGAAACATACAAGTAAACAAATATAGCCAGACAAGCAGACAAATGTAGTCATACAAGCTTAACAAATACACTCATATATAAATATACCGTACATATGAACATACACATGGTCATACAAGTACAGGGTGGTCCTTGAACGCTATAAATATATACTAGGTATAACTGGACCACCCTGTACACAGTGGCCGATAACATGTAAAATTCAAATAAAGTATATCTAATGCTCTTCCCAAAAGGAACAAGACCATTTAGCTTACTGCCCATGTTCATGTTATAAATGGTCCAGACATTTCTTGGGACAGAGCATTAGACTGAGCATTAAGAGATTCTAATGAATTCAGATCAAATTACAACACCGAGGATTGAGTGGTTATCCCAAAGATTTATCCAATTTGCATTGGAATTTGGATAATATTTATCCAAAAAGTAATCCAACTCAAGAGGTGGATTGAGATTTTTCCTGAGATTAATCCCAGGACTGTACAAATTCACCAATTTTTGGATTAATTGAAGGATCAATCCCACAATGCATCATTCAGATCCTTCTATTACTGTTATACAAATCTACAGTAAAACCTAATAGCAAACATCTTTTTAGTCATATGTGTTCACTACACAGGAGTAGAAAAATCAATGGAGTATGTTATGAGAAATGATGTCCACTATGACAGGCTTAACTGTACATGTATATACTACAGGGCGTCCCGAAAGTATGGGGGCCCCCTAGGCAGACATATACCAATGTCATATACAATGTGAAACTTTGTATTGATAGTTAATAGTCAATGAACAAGTCTGAGAAAATACAGTCCACTAGCTAATAACTGGCCATATAAGAGCAAATCTAAGTTGGAGCATTTTTAAGACTGTGTTTAGACTATATAACACTGGTTATCTACTTGATTACCCTGGTTTGGGGAGGCTTCAAAAGATCAACGTCAGACAGAAAACTAAATAAATCTAGCAAGGGGGGGGGAGTCAAAGCCACTTCAGTTTGCTATCCGACAAAGAACATTTCAATTCTTTTGCAATTTTGACCTTGGAATAGTTTAAAATAAAGATTCTACCTGATACTTTCTTTGTCAAGATGCATGCAATATAGCAATAATATTATGCCTACTGTTGTTGTCACATGTTTTAAGAATTCTAAATAAGTTATGGTGATGCCCCCAAGCAAACACGTGAAAGGTCCGCGATCAACTTTCATGGTATTTAGTTTTTGGGGTTGGGGGAGTCAAACTCAAAATTGGTACATTTATTTAGTTTCCTATCAGACATTGGACTTTTGATGCCTCCCCTTACAGAAACAGTACAATGGTACGATTTTAATTTTTTCCTTATTTCACGCATTATTGGTAGGATTCCAAAAATTTTTGAAAATGTGTCCGTATCATATGTTTAAGAAATTGCACGTGTTTGCGAACAAATAGTTCAGAAGACAGCAGAATCATCAGATCTTGACCATTTTTTTGAAATTCTATGAACATAACAAAACGTCTTTTGAACTATTTTTTTGCAAACATGTACATTTTCTTAGGCATAGTACTGAAACAAGTGTCTGACAAAAATGTCGTAGGTGGGAATTCTACCAATAATGTGGGGTAACCCAAACTAACAATTTCGGAAACCAGCCTAATCAAGTGGATCACACATTCAAACACATCCTTCTATAAATTGATAGCACCTTCAACAGTTGTAACAAATCCTATATTCAGTGTAAATTCATTGATTTGACCTTCCATAAATATATTCAAATCTACACTTGAACTATCCTGGCTCTAGATATTAAAAATGATTTTGAGGATAGTAGGAATAATGTACAATGGTCCAAAATGTAAGGGTAATATCAAGGTAGCATGTAAGGATAATATCAAGGTAACATGTAAGGGTAATATCAAGGTAACATGTAAGGGTAATATCACGATAACATGTAAGGGTAATATTAGGTGACAAATATGGATAGAATGGGGTCGAATGCAATGGTAACATTGGGGTCACATGTAAGGTTGATATCAAGTAACATGTAAAGGTAATATTAGGTGACAAATATGGGTAAAATGGGATCACACACAATGGTAATATCAGGATATAAAGCTAATATTTAATTCAGCAGATTATTTTACTAAAACTGATGATTAATAACTGTTTGAGACATTCAGGTCTTATGCATTTATTTGACATGAAGAGACCCATGTATCCCTTTAACCTGTCGTTGTCTTGAATAGAAAAAATGATTGCTAAGCTGATTAGCTTAAATCTCAATACATATATAATATGCATAATCTCAATTGTAGAAGTGACGGAGAATTTGAGCGAATTAATTGTATAATAGAACTTTCTAAATTGTCCATTTTTAATAACAGCATATATCATAATAACGGCATATTATATTAATAATTGCAGCAGTAGCATACATTCTGTATACATATAACAATTTCTTGATGCAAGGTTTTTGACATAACATCATTATTTGTTTGATATACTAACTGAAAAATTCTGCTTATTTTAACCTGGCTTAAAGGAAAGTTATGCCTAAATATTGCTTTCTACTCACTACTTCTCAAATTATGTTCAGATCCATTTTTATGCAAAACTTGGGCCTTTGATACTTAAAATCAATTTTTTTTACTTAAAATCAATTTAATATGGATGCTCAAACAGTTCCCACTAAGTTCCTTGATATCATTTTTAAAATTATTGTGAAACCAAAGAGTGTATGGCAATAAGTGAAACCAGGAGCCCAATGGGCTGATTAAGCAATAACAAATTGAGAAAATATTTGGACATACTCCTCCTTTAAGAGCCACTGTTGGCACCTTATATAAAATAAATAAAATAAAAATACTAAAAAGGTCAAACCTTTAAGAACACGAGTCATTGCACATGATGTAATACTATCAAACAAATAACATTAACCCAGAGTTGCATTTGAAAAAATATGGAGTATAACAATTCTGGTATTGCTGGACCTCCTCTGACTAGGATTGACTGATTGTTATACAAGATAACCAGTTGCCATGTTTAGCAAAACACGCAAAAATGTTTTGATATGGTCAAATTTGATCACTTAGAAATGTGATGCTCAATTCCAGTAAGCTGCCATCTTTTAAAATTTCACACAGGAAGTGATGTCATCAACTCTCAACTTTGCATATAGCATTAGGTAAGGAGCTATTAAGAATTACAAAACCAGCTAAATATTCTTTTTCAACTTTGTATCTTATTTAATCCTTCTGAAAATCTCTTCTTTTATTCTTAGTTGACAAGCCCTGAAAATATTTTTGCACAGAAAGTAATGATCACTTGTCTACAAGTGATTTTGTGCTACTTTCCTATACTGTTATGGGCAAGGTTATAGAAGTTGAGAGTTGATGACATCACTTCCTGCAAGAAATCTTAAAAGATGGCAGCTCACTGGAAATAAGCACTAGATTTTTAAATGATCAATATTGACCATATTAAAACATTTTCCCATGTTTTGCTAAATATGGAAACTATATATATATGATTATAGCTACCGTATCAAGAGAGAAAGGGTCTGGCAAGGAATATTCCTTTAAGCAATTCTGTTATTTCTTTTCAATGTAGATGCCACATGCTGTAAATCCCTGTTGCGTCCACTAATGCTGGTTTTCTGTTTTACATTTTAAAAAATGCCTAAGCTGACACTGTATAGGCCTCATGAGGTTTTCACAAGATGCTTCCTATGCTTGATTGATTTCCTGATGAACTGAATAGCTTTGAATGGATCCACATTCACATTTGATGCCTGGAATGGAATAAAAGACAATGATGGTGACTATCACAATGATAGTGATGTTGGCTAGCACATAAAGGAATAAAAGACAATGATGGTGACTATCACAATGATAGTGATGTTGGCTACGCACATAAAGGAAAAAAAATTTGTATAGCTAACACAGAAATTGACGAATGACCATTTCTGGTTGTGATATAAAAATGGTAAATGATAGTGATATGATACTTACGGCGAATAGTTCTAGTGAGCTGATGTCTGAGCGTATTTCAGACACTGATCCCCGAGTGACAATACGAGCCAAGGTAGGCATCCTACCAGTGTTACTTGACCCCTGGAGATAACAAATACATGTTGGAAATGGTCTTTTGAAATGTTCCCTTAAAGTAGTAAACACTTTTGATCAAATTTCATTTAGAAGAACAAAGCACATTTGTTGATGTAAAAAGAAAGATAATCTCATTTATATCCATCAAGCAAAATAAAACACAAATACAAGGGAATGAATAGATAATTAAAATATGAGCCCTACCATTTCAGGATAGACTATAGACATGCTGTAACACAAGTGGTCCATATCCTCAATAAAGGCTGAAATAAAGTGAGATATCGAGTTATCCACCAGCCATTTGGCCAAACAGTCTTCTTTACATTGCCAATCACAATGAAATGAACCATGAACCATGAAATAAAATGTGCGATGTGCAAATTTGTGTCCATACATATTATGTTTAAAAATAATTTAAGTTATGAATATGATCAAGCACATCGAACAACATTGCCAATTAAAATAAAATACAAGGTATATAAGGTAGAACAGTTTTACCATGGGCTTTTAATTAAAGCCCATGATTTAACAATGTCTTATCTAATACAAAGTGTAAAGTATAGTCAGTTCATTCTGTAGTCCCATAGACTTTTTAAACAATGAGAAAACTACATATTATTGTTATACAGTGCATGTTATACAGTGCTTACCTCGGGTAACATAGTATATCATATGGAAGAAATTTGCGGACGGACTTTCTGCCATTATCACAATTTCATTATCTTTTTTAGGAGTCTGAAAAGAATTAAATTCTAAAATGCATCAACCACTTTTTATGCATATGAAAAATAACCAAGTTCCAATCACCATACTTCAAATCGAAAGTAAAGTGTACATGTATGCATGAATGCTGGAGGATAGGGAGCATTTCAAAAGATCAGTATTGGAGAAATAACTGTATTTGAAAAGTTAAGGGGAGGGGGTCATAAGCATTAAAAGTTATCTTTTGAATTTTGAAATGCTCCCTTATTGAGACAACATGATGCAGATGTTCATGTCATACGTATATTTTGAGCAAGTAAACAGTAAAATTAGTGAGAAAAAATATTGAAAATAATTATGAGACATGAAGTTACTTGTGTGACATATTGCAACAAAATGCACGAAACTCAAAATTGCAAAATAACAATGAAACATATAGGCCACCTTAAACTTTGGTATTCCCTTATAGACCAACCACGCCAATATATCAAATCAATATAACGCAACTTGAAGTTCAGAGATATTAGTACACTGTACAAACGTCAAATCACTTACAATACTTGCATATGCAACCACATCATCCACATGGACTGCTAGCCCAAGGATATCATGTAGATGAATCAGATCTGTAAAGTAGTTCCGGTCAGGGAACATTTTTGAGTATTGTTCAGCAGCTAATCTCCAATTTTCCTGACTTCCTGGAATAATATAAACAAAAATAAATTAAACTTGACATTATCAAATAAGATGTGTACATGTGAGCTATTACATTAACATCAATTGAATTCTTATTGTGGAATTACATATATGTCATGATGTGAATTCACCCGGACTGAAAACACCCAGTTGATGATTTGCAAGCTATTAACACCAAGATGAATATCTATTTTCACCAATTTGATATCCATAAGAACCAAGGAAATACTTTATTTTGACAACAGTGGGCTTTTTATTAACCACATTAGATGAACTAAGAATTTTGCACACTGCAGATAAAAAGTCATGGTGAGAAGTTTGAATAGTATTTATGACAACAATAATATATTGTATATCAAACAATTTATCATGTTTGCGTTAATATAGAACTTACGAGCTAATCTGCTATACTATAGTGCAAATGAAGAGATCTAATACATTAATTTCCACATTCAAAGCATTCAAATGAACTATTTACTATCTCTAAGCCACCCACCATAGTAACGGTCTGTCTCCATGGTAACATGTACATGAGGGTGTATCTGGCTAGCACTGGCATGTGGTAAAAGATCCCACATAACTATAGGGTACTTGTAGTTAGGATCTGTGTAATGTACTTTGTTTACCCTGGAAGTAGTTAATACAATCAATAGTACATATATACAAAAGGTAGTACATATGCCCAATTGATAGAACATATATACAATAACGCAGATGCGAGTAGGTAGTTACCAGTTTCGCCACCAGGTGGCTCGTTCGGGTCAGATAACATGGCGGGTATAGTAGAAAGTTCCCTTTAACTACATCTGTTTTAGTGGTTCAATTTTCATATAACCCTTATGTATCTAATAGTGATGCAAATTAAAGTATGACCAGTAAAAGAAAATGTTATCTGTCAAATACAAGAAAAGATATTTCACTTTTTGTGATTTTGTAACATGGGGTCTATGAGGAATCAACCCGAACAAGAAGTCACATTTTCAAAAAAAATTAAATTTTCAAAGTTGATAAACACTTTTCGAAACCATTTTTCTAGATGTACTTCTACATGTAGATTTCAAATATGACATCACTATGACTGAATTTTGAATATTTAATGGCTTAAATCAAGATTATTTCTATTCGCATCTAGTCTATTGATAGTACATATACACTTCTGAAATTTCAGATTTACAAGTGATAGATAACACAGTATACAGGGTGGGCCAAAAAAAACAATACCCAAGTTTAAATATGAATGATTCATATGATGCATGTTAAACCATGCCATGTATTATATATAATTTTAAAGATAGATCATTTTCGAATAAAATGACACCATCCAATTGAAAAACCCTTGTTTTCTCTTGGAGTTAGAATCTGAAGTTGACACCATGGGTGCCATGAGCGACCAAAAATCAAAAAACGAAAATTCCCCAAATTTCCCTCCATATTGCAGTCACAGCTGCACTCAATATGATAGAATCATCATAAATGTATTTAAGAGTAATACACAATTGATAATTAATTAAAAATATGTAAGTATTATTGCTGAATTTTGCACTATACTTGTATAAATGTACCTCTTTTGAAGGTGCTAAAGTTCAAATTTCCCTCCATTTTCCACAATTTGGAAATCCACAGGGAATAATTTTTTGGTCGCTCATGACACCCCTGGTGTCAATTTTAGCCTCAAACTCCACAAGAAAACAATGGTTTTTTATTCAGATGGTGTCAAGTTGTTAGGATATGATTTTTCTTAAAAATGATATACAATACATGGCATTGTTTAACGTTATATCATATGATATTCACCCTTAAACTTGGGTATTGCTTTTTTGGCCCACCCTGTATAATGTGAAAATGGGCAGAAAATGGATTCTATGGGCTTTTGGCTTTCCAATAAACATTTTTGAGCACTCAATAAGCCAATAGATTCCAGTTCATATATGCAAATGTTTTAAGTAAAGTAAAGTAAATGTATCTATGTCACTTGCTTACCAATCCAATGTTAACTGAAAGAGATCCATGAATTCTATAAAGTTCCAGTCTAGAGGATGGTGGTTCCTGAAGACAACCATGGTGTGCCAGGCATCATACTTGAAGGCATTAGAGGCGGTAAAGGCATGGCTTGTCTCTAGTCTTCCAAATGGATCTATCCCTGTATATCTGAATAAAGGAACAAAATAATATGTATTTACAAGGTACCAGTGCATGTAGATCTCCTTTCAATCAATTTAAGGTAAAGTTATCATATAAAACAATCAAACACTTTGGTTGTAACACAATATTGACACTGTCATACATGAAATGATCATATATAAAATCATCTCTAGCAATGATCGTATGAAACTCGCTGACATGTTAAATGAAGTAGAATGACATATTTGCAACATGCTCATTTCACCGATATGATCATATTTCTAGGAAAGTGAGATATACCTTAGGTACCTGTTTTGGATAGAATATCTCAATGTTTCTCCCTTTTGGCAGGGTGAAGGCAAATTTCCAGCAGGGTAGTACATGTATGTGATTCTCAGACTTTCAAAGGGGTAAATCATCCAATTGCTATAATGCTGGGAAGATAGCATTTTCCAAATTTTACAGGCATTTTTAAACTTACTTTTTATATGTAGATTCACAGAAGTCACATGTCTTCCCACTCTTTTCAGCTAAGTTATCTACACTGGAAAACATATAAGAATACATAATCACCAATCACTTCATTTATATGTTTTTAGGTAACTCAACATTACTATAAATTATTACTCAATTCTTTCCTGTTAGTTCGAAATGTTATCACCAAAATGTTCTCTATTTATTCTACACTTTAATAACACGTCAAGTGTGCTCCAGCATTCTCATTGGTCACAATTCAACTTTTCGGGAAACCAAAAAATGTTTGTTTGAGAGTATAAATTTAATATATAAAAGGTACTATCAGGTAATATATTTATGTACCCAAATAAAAAAAAATCAGATAGCCATCACTTGCACCAATATCTATCAAGAGCTTTGATTTACATACAGTATTATTGAAAAATTTCAAGTAGCATTAGAACTTCCTTATTTGCATTTGCATTTTTTACATTTGCGTCAGAGTAACAGGGCCCTTTAAAATATCTAAAAATACTGCAGTGTTATTAGGATCAAGTGATGTTGACTTTTTGTACAGTGTGGTAACATCTCTGAACTTCAACATCCAAATCATGAACTTTATGATGGCCTGGTCCATTCAGGAATGTTATGATTCAATTAAAGGGATTAGAAGAGGAAGAGAATTAACATCCCCTTTTCAATTTTTTGCCAGATTTTGTAAATCAATAGATCATCCTGAAATAAAGCTACGGCTGTTAGAAAATAAGCATGATATAGATCCTAAGATCCAAAAATTTTAAATAAAATCATGACTATTTTTGAAAATAGGGAAAATACGACATGGAATCCTGAGCCCAAAATTTTAAATTGTGACTGTTTTGAACTCTCATATCATCTCTAAACCATCAAGTCTCTTTAAATTAAATTGATGAAATCACCCTCCTATTTTAAAACCAAAGGTTATCAAATGCTATGACTTTTTAGAGTTTAATTCAAAACACTCATAATTCTCGAAATAGTCTAGTAGTTACATTAATTGACAAAATGCTGATTTAAGAGAGGAAGGAAAATTAAACTGAAAAAATGAAACATCTCCATATTTCAATTTTTGTGATTTGGATATATTGTTTATTACAAACAGCATTGGCAACAGATGCATTATTAGCAGGTATGACATTCTCATTAAATGTATATTTACTTCAGATAATTTATTTTATTTATGACAAACCACCATAAAAAGTAAAGATAAAATGAAAACATCTTTAACATGTATATTATGGACATTATGGCCATATAGTCATGCAGGTTTCAGGTTTAAGATTTTTTAATACCACTTTTATCGAATCTTTATAATTTTACTCGATACGATTGTCACTTTTCTGAGCTGAGACTTTTATGAGTGTTTGTCTCATTTGATAATCCAAAATTTTCATGTTTGCCGAAAATTTAACAAAAATGTTCAGTTTACGCAGGATTTACTATGTAATGTGCAATTACAATCACACTGCTTCCTTCGCTTCCTTCCTTTTCCTCCACCCATATGTGCTATATTATGACTTGTTTTTACAGATGGGTGTCCCTTTGGAGATTTTCTCCTTATAAGAAGACATAATACGTCACCTGGGTGTAGAGTTCTCTTAAAGCTCTATGAGTCATGGTCAGGCAACAACAAAGACATGTGCTTGGCAAAAGCCTGTCAGTTGGATGGCAATGTTGTCCACTACAGAAGCAGACACCACTGTTTCATATACAGATGTGAGGCTAGCTCAGATGGCACTGATTGGGAGTATCAATGGACAAGAAATCAAATATGGGGACAGGTATATGCCAAACCTCATAGATCAAACATCAAATGCTACAATTCCTACTTTGTAAGGAGAACATCAAGCACAGTGTGGCAATACTCTGAATGTAATAATATCAGTCGTTATGATAAAGATGTAGTTCAAACTTTGAACGACTGTATGAACTATTCTTGTCACACTTTAGCTAATGTGTTCAACTACTATCCTGACACAAAGCGATGCGACACTAAATATTGTATGTGGAATTCAACAACTAGTGATTACAACTTAAATCCTAAACCTAGCTCTACAAAGGTATATGTTTATGCTCTGATGCATATTCAACAATGTAGCACAATACCTCCACCCATACAAATACCAGCAAACACTAACATGTCTTGTCAAGTGACAGGGTATTTCCAAAGCCCCACAGAACCTGACCAGATAAATGATATCTTCTGTAAGTCTCGTTCAAATACATTTACACTAAAAGATCGAGAGAGTGAAATGAGGAGTCATTATTGTTATAGCAACCATGAAGGAACTGGATGGAAGATAATTTCAGATCAAGATGTCCCTTGCTTTAGTGATAATCAAACGAAGGAAATGTTTGTCATGCCATATCCTGGCACACCAACCTGCCAAGGAAATATGTTTATCATAAAACAATTTCAACAACATTGCAAAATATCTGCATGTTATACACATGGTGCTGAAACTGGATTAGACCTCAGACAGTGCATGATACGTGCATGTGAAGGTGGTGCAAATGTTATCAATTACAGAAGTGCCAAAAACATACATGCATCAAGACTTCCATCTGTATGTGATTTGAGAACCTGTTTAATTCATAATGGTCAACTTGATTTAAACCTCACCTATAACAGTACAGGTTTTGAGGTTTATGTGCTGCACACTACACAAGGAGCAAAATCAACAACAATGACACCATCAACAACGACACCATCAATAACGACAACATCAACAACAGATCAACAAGAAATCATTTCTTTCGAAATTGCCACAATAGTTATGGGAATCTTACTTGTGGTTTCAATTGTGGTGATTCTGATAACTTGCATCATGTTAAAAAGACAACATACTAAAAGAAAACATGAAATGAATTCTCAAGATGACAACCTGGCACCTCTTAAAGATTATGCAGACAATGTCACTGATAATAATTATGTAAATGATTCTTTTATTGATGAGATAAGCTATGGAAATCAGAATGATCCAATTGTACAACAGAGCATTGCCAGAACTGTTAATGAAGGTGCCCTTGAAAATGAAAGAGATGAGGAGCTTAACTTTATGATTGATCCAACTGGACCAGAGAGAAAGGTCAGAACTGTTACTGAAGGTGCCACTGAAAATGATAGAGACAAGGAGCATAACTTTATGAATGATCCAACTGGACCAGAGAGAAAAGTCAGAACTTTTAATGAAAGTGCCCTTGAAAATGACAGTGATGGGAAGCATTACTACATGAATGACCCAACTGGACCAGAGAGAAAAGTCAAAACTGTTAATGAAGGTGCCACTGAAAATGACAGAGATGGGGAGCATAACTATATGAATGATCAAACTGGACCAGAGAGAAGAGTCATAACTGCTAATGAAGGTGCCTTTGGAAGTAACAGAGATGCCACTGAAAATGACAGAGATGAGGAGCATAACTATAGGAATGATCAATTCGGACCAGAGAGGAAACCCAGAATTGTGAATGAAGGTACCAGTGAAAATGACAGAGACAAGGAGCATAACTACAAAAATTATAAATTTAGACCAGAGAAGAATATCATAACTGCTAATGAAGGTGCCTTTGGAAATAATAGAGATGCCACTGGTGCCACTGAAAATGACAGAGATGAGGAGAATAACTATAGGAATGATCAATTCGGACTAGAGAGGAAAGCCAGAATTGTGAATGAAGGTGCCTTTGGAATTGAAAGAGACAAGAAACATGGTTATAGTTATGTTACTCTTGACAAAAACAGAGATGAGAAGCACAACTATAAGAGTATGAAAGTCAGAACTGAAAATAAAGGTGCTCTTGGAAATGACAGCGATGAGGAGCATGACTATGTGAATGTTCCCATTACACCAAAGATGAAAGTGAGCACTATTAATGTTAAAGACAAAGAGTGTGTCTATAAGAATGATCCAAGTGAACCATAATGGAAAGACTGAACTGTTGATCTTGGTAATAACTGAGACAAAACTATGGAACAAGAATTTCTAGGAATTTCATAAGGAATCAAGTGATATCTCTTGCATAGTCACAAAAAATGACACCCATCTTACGTTGCATAGGTTGTTTGTCCATTATAATATAGGCTTGTTCTTTGGCACGTTCAAAGTAGACATGGATGTGAAATTCCTTTGCAGACACACATGGATTCTGCACAAAAAATGTCACCCAGTCTTTGTAACATAACTTTGTAAATACAAAATAATGTAGTTGTAGATAAAATCACTATAACTTATTTCCAAAATTATGTTACAAAAAGTGGGTGTCGTTTTTTGTGTAAAATCCAGTTGTGCCAACAAAGGAATAGACGGCACATTTTATAACGCTCATAAATGCGCATCTAGGTGAGCCAGTCATCTGAAACTTCTTTTGAAGTTTTAATGTGCAAAAAACAAGTCTGAACTTCTGCAGACAAAAAAGTTGTGTGGGTTGGTGCCATTTATATTGTGTCACGCTGTATATACTATTGAATTTGTGACAAGATATCTTCTATAATGTACTAATATAACTTGTAAAAATATGGGAATAAGTCATGTTTAGCTAATTTAATCATGGGAGTGAAGTCAATGAAATGATAATTTAGAGCAAATGTTTTCAATTTTAAATGGGTTATTCATCAAATAACCTTGATTATTATATCACTGTCATATTCCCAACTCTCTCATTGGTCTACATATTATATGTGACATAGATGTATTGTGTATATTATATGTGACATAGATGTATTGTGTATATTATATGTGACATAGATGTATTCTGTATATTACATGTGACATAGATGTATTCAATGGCCATGCCTGTGATGTCACAAAAAAGGCATATTCAATAGGTGTATTAACCAGGTGTATCGTTTCGTCCAGTGTAAATGTGAGTGATAGAAAAAAAATCTGATAATTCTTGTTCTTATAAGACATTGCCAACAGCAAGGGAGTGGTAAATATAGCAGTGCACAATAGTATGAAATATTTGTATAATATTGATTTAAAAGAATGACCTATCTATATATTTTCATGTGAGACGTGTTATATTGAATAACTAATGCTAATATCTGTAATTCACATATAGTATGCCATCTATGACAGATTACTGATTTGCAGTGAATCTCTTCAACATTTTCCTCATTATGAATTGAAATTTGATAATTATATCACATAGTAGGCGTAAATAAATGTCAATTTGACATTTCATAAAAAATCATCGGTAAATTTTATTTTTATTCAGGGCAGGGCCATGGTTTCAAAAGCGAATAAAAGTAAACAGTAAATTTGTAATTTGTGGCAAAAAGTGGTGAACAATAAAAGATGAACAGTGAAAGTGTTCAGCAGCATAGGCACTTATACCATTTATTGTCAGCATTTAGGCCCGTAGCAAGGGGGGGGGGTTGCAGGGTTCGCCCCCCCCCCCCCCCGGCCCAAAAAAGATTCTTTCAAAATTGTCAAATGTGAACCCCCCTGGAAATTTTTGAAAACTGAACACCCCCTTGGCAAATCCTGGCTACGGGCCTGGCATTCCTATCACTTAGCAAATGCATCCCATATCAAGTAAGTTAAACCTGCATTGTTTTTTTGTTTGCTGAATACTATTTATGTGTTAACAGAGTTTCAAGTAACTCAACTCAATTATCTGATAACATTCTAATGTTGAGTAATATGTGTACAAGAACAAACAAATCTGATTTATATTTAGTCAAACCTGTTTTAAAAAAGACTGCCTTGAAAAGTAATTATGATGGGATCAGTCAATATTTCATTTGTTGGGAAAGACCAGCATACAGCATAGTTACGTACACATATGCAAAGTAATAGAGAAAACTCCTAATAGCTATTTTGAGTTAAAAGCGAACTTGAGAGTCCAAGGGTTGTCTGCGCAAAAAGTACCATGATTGTGACGTGCATGGACCTAGGGACAAGTCAAGAAATCTGAAGTACAACGTAATTCTATATGCTTCACAATGATATCATTTTTTCTAGAGATTTAATGTGATCTAACATACTTTTAAAGTTAAATATAGCATGACATCATCAAATATGTTGTGAGACACTTTACACTTGCACATTTCGTTGAAATTTGGATAACTTTAGAATTGATAATAAAAATTTTACTAAATGTTATGCTGTTGGAAATTCAACAAAGAGGAAGAATGAGAAAATGCAATGGAGAGGTTACTTTGATGTGTTATGTGTTGATGGTTACATTCTGTTTGAATACATCACAACTGATTAAAAAATAGCAACAGTAAACTGAAATTATTCTATTGACATTACTTGAGCTTCAGATATATAAATCAAAACATTGACTTTGAATACACATAGTATTGAAAAGAGTTGTGCAAATTGATTTATTTGTACATTTGTCATGTCAATTGTGAATGACATTTCCGCCTGGTTAGAAATATGATGATCTGATAGAATGGGATATACGCATGAATTTAAGAGAAAAATTAAAACTACAAATGTGGCAATAATTTATTCGCTTCTTCGTGGCATCATCCTCTTCATGTTGTCCTTTTGCGAATCAATTAAGGAAGATCCCATGAAATGAAACAAATATGTTATTTCTTTCGAACATTGATGTATTTTTTGTTCTGTGTGTCAATGTAAACAATTTGTTGTTAAAAATTGGAAGATTTTCACCCACGTAGATCAGCGGTAGCATCGTAATACGGCCACTATTATTCAAAATGCCTGCTCACTAACCAAACTGTCATAAGAATGTGTAATATGCTTCTAAGTATCAGTTAACTTCTTTTCCAGTTATAGCCAAAGAAGATATTTACATGCAAGTGTTAATGTTAAAGAGCAAGTTTAATTTTTTCTATTTGATGTGAGTGGGAGAGTTATAAATCTGCATATAAATCAGAACTAGTCACTTGATATGACAGTGTGTCATCCAGATATCAGTGGAAATGATCATAGGGAGGAAAGAGTAAGTTATTATTGATTTTGGAGCACTTCATCCAGAGTAGGTATGCTCATATCAAAACTGGAGAGCCATATTTAGATTATAAAATTGTAAACTGTTAATAAAATGTCAATAATAATGTGACTTAACATGAATATTTGTATTTTTCCCTGCTCAATACTATCATAGCTAAATATTTATTTATTTTGACCACTTTAAAATAAGGAAACATTTTCATGTCCTAATGTAAAGGGCAATAACAATATAATAACAACCACCAATTTCCTCAAATGCAGGATATGTCTTGCAATCAATGTCTCATTTCTCTATCTTTTTATTTTATATTGCAATAGTTTAAATCAGAAAGCAAAATGAAATCACCAAAGTTACAGCTTATTATTCCTGGCATATATTTGATGCTAACATTCTTTGTATTTGCAGCACGTGGAGATGAGGGTAAGAATTAATTACTTTGGTAAATACAAGCAATTGCATGAACTGAAGAAATAACTGTATATTTTTAGCTTATAAAATGAATCTATGTAAAATGGACAAATATGGCAGTACAAAGGCAGTATGATAATCAATTAAATGTAATGATGATAAATTAATTAAAGCATAAAATTTTATATAAGGTTAGATTGGTAAATGTTCATGATGTTCACATTTAAGATGTTCATGATGTACAAATTACTGGCAAATCGAATCAGTCAAAGTATTTGCGTGTGAAAAGTTGAAAATGTGAAGTAAAATTAGAGACCATGTATTGTTATATATTTCCAGATTGTTATTCTGGAGACTTCCTCCTTGTAAGGCAAGATCGTTATCCTGGCTGCCAGATATTAGCGCAGTTTTACTCTCCAGGGCTGGTCAACTCAAAAAGGCAATGTTTCAACAAGGCATGCCAACTTGGTGGAAATGTAGTGCATTATAGGCAAGGCTATCATTGTTCTGTTTACAGATGTGAAAGCAACACAGCAGAAAATGATTGGAACTATCAGTGGCGCTATCAAACTAATCGAAGGGGGCATGTATATGCTAAGCCTCACTCCTTCATACCCAGATGTTATAATTCATATTTCATGAGGCGAACATGGACATGGGGAGAATATTCAGAATGCATTCTATATGAACATATATATGATGAAGAGCTCAAGAACTGCACGACATACATGTGCAACAGAAAAATTGGAAATGCTCTAAACTATTATCATGACCTCAGACAGTGTGACATAGTCTATTGTAAATGGAGCCCTGCACATAATGATTACAATTTAAAACTTTCTAGTAGGAGTGGTAATGTTGATGTTTATGCTCTCATGCACAAAGAACAATATGACACCACTTTTCCAGAGATAGTAGTACCCTCATCCATTCCAAACTGCCGCACAAATGGGGATTTCCCCACTCAAGGTGTTGTACTTGCTAATCTACTTTTAACCCAGTATGATTCCAATGGTTATGTAAAGTCATCAGCCGATAATTCAGTAAGAAGCTTCCAATGTCCGAGGAACCACGAAGGTACACAATGGGATTTGTATAGCGATCAAAATACTTGCTTATATCAAGGTTCAACCAAATTAATGTCAATTGTACCATATCCAGGTACACCAAACTGCGGAACAGCCATGTTTGCTCTCAAAAGAGTTAAACAACTTTGTGAATTCTCTTACTGTGGATTGAGTTATACACACTATGGAAACGATCTAAGGGAGTGTATGATATATGCTTGTGAGGGAGAAGGAAATGTGATCAACTTTTACAGTTCAAGTAATAGTTCAAGAGGCATATGTATATATGGTAGATGTAGCATGTCTTCAAGTGGAGAATACAACCTAGAGTTAAATCATGAATCTGACAACAATGGGCTGGGGTTTGATGTGTATGCACTTCAAGAGATGTCAATAACAACAACGCCAAAACAAACAACTACAACACAATCAGCAACATCAGCAAAACCAACAACATCAGCACAACCAACAACATCAGCACAACCAACAACAACAGCACAACCAAAAACATCAGCACAACCAACGACAACAAACCCACCTGACACAACAACTATATTCAAAGCTCCTGAAACAACATCACAGTTACCAACCTTAAATAAAACAGAAAGTATCACCCATACAAATCCTCCATCATTTACACCAGAGCAAACTCAGCTTGCCCAATATCAGCAAGAGATTCAACAGTTAAGAGCAGTTGCCATTGTATTGGGTTTATTTCTCTTAGTAGCTTGTGCAATAATTGGAGTGATATTTATCTACCGGCACAATAAGAGTAAAATAGTTGATAATCAAAACAAACCACCAACAAATCCTTTAACAGACCAGGAAGATGCAAGTGAAATGACCAATACAGCAAATGATCCAACTGGTCTCAAACTACATGGTAATGAAGATGTAACAAATGAATATGAAACTGCAAACATTTATGAAAATGAGGCAATGATGTCAGAAGATGAAGTTAATGTTGATTTTACAAGAGCAAGTGGAGCTAGGTATGAAGAAATTTCAATGACCAATTTAGCAAATAATCCCACTGGTCCCAAATTACATGTAATTACATGCACCACAAACGCAGATGAGCCTACGAACATTTATGAAAATCAAGAAATGATGATGTCAGAAGATGAAGTAAATGTTGATTCCACCACAGATGAAGCCAGGTATGAAGAACTTCATATGGGCTCTGATGCTCCTATAGATAACAGTCAAACCTATGAAGAACTGCGGGTGGACTTTTCTCAATCTGCTTAAATCGGTAACAAGAAAACTTTAGAGGAAGAAGATTATACTGACGGCACCAACTTCCACGATAGATACATCCATCTTGAGTATGAAAAATATATACATGTACTTACTATAGTCTCTCAGATATTTCTGGTTTAGTGATTGGTCGCTTCCCTCTGAGTGGATTGAATATGGTACTATCTCTGGTGAGTTCATTGAAGGTAATGGTGATTGTCTGAAATTACAAAATGTTACACAAATTGAGCAAAATGTAGCTGTTCTGTAACTGTGATGTTAAACACATATAAATACATATATGTTTTTCCAACGGAGGCCAGCTTTACAAGCCTTACATGGGGATGGGGGGGGGGGGCTTGTTGTGTATTGTAACCTATTTCCCTCTGTTTAACCAAACTATTCCATCAACAATTAAACATACTTTATGTTGACATAATCCTCAAACAATACAAAAGACAAGACAATACCTGGTGCTGAGCTTCCTCAAGATACTTTTTGTTTCCTCCAAGCCATTTTAACATCTTTGGAACAAATGTGTCTGGAATGTTCAGTGAACCTGACCTCTTCCTCACTGTGAAGATGGTGTTAAATATAGCCAGGTATTGCCTGAAAAAGACACACTGATTTTACTTTTCCTTTAAAAAAAGCTTCTGGTTGCCATATTGGATTATTTCATGTGTCACATAATTTGTCATACAATAATGTATATAAAATATCATTTTCTGGAGTTATCGCAAAAAACTTTAAAAGTGACATATATTGGCTGGTATTTCTTAATGGTTGCCATGTTGGACAAAATGTCATAAGAAATTGAGTCATGCTTCTTATATGCAAGTAAATGGAATTACAAATAAACAACAGAATTGCTACATAACTTTCAAATGAAAAAACAACATAAAACAGAACACTGACTTCAAAAACTGTTAAAATAATGTAAAAACAGCTTCAAACTTAGACGCATCAATTGCCCCCTTCCACTCCCCCAAAATGAACCATTGTAACTACCTGCAAACAGGGTACGTTGACACATCTATTCCCCCTCCCACTCCCCCAAAATGAACCATTGTAACTACCTGCAAACAGGGTGCGTTGAAATCTTCCACTCCTCCACCATATCATATAGTACTCCTATAGATGGCGTTGCAAATTTATTGAAGCACATGTTCTTATATTCCTCCTGGATATAAAACAAAATCACATGTAAATAATGTATTATTTGATACATGTCATACTCATACATATACGATATACAAACATTCAATATACAATATTCAAACATGACCGTGCTCTATTCGAATTTCTCAACCAATCAGAATGCAGCATAGCCAATATAGAACGTTCTCTAATTCTCCATAGATGCACGACCATGCTCTATTCAATCTGCAATTTGCATTGTTTTGAGTGACGTCACATCTCAGCTGCACATCTGGGGCTCTGTCCGGGGATAATCTTGACAGCATGCATATTCTTCCTTCATGCCCGTTCCACAGACACGGCTTTTACTAATTTTTATGTTTGAATCGGAATAAATAATGATAGGCCATTCAATATGGTGAAATTCAGCACTCGTTGGACAGAATGTTAGTACAAATGCACTCACCTTCGGTTCGTGCTTTGTACAACATTCTGTCGAACTCGTGCTGAATTCCACCATATTGAATGGCCTATCATAATTATTCCTTAAATTGAACCCGGGCATAAGAAAAGGGGTTCTATCCCCAGGTCTTATTACAGATTTTTCAATACTTTAATTTTTTGCATATCTTAAAAAGCACTAAGACACATTTCAAATGAGCCATGGCTTATGTCTTAAAAAATTTCTTTGCAGATATAGACCAAACAGATTTGAATTTAGCATATAAAGGTTGCATCTTCACCTCAATAGACTGATATCTTAAAGTGTAAGCATGCTAGTAATAACTACAGATAGCTAGAAATGATTTATGAGCACAATGTAAAGCAATTAAATGATATATTAAGTAACAATTTCAGGTGGATATGGCAATTTTGCTTCTCTTTACTCATTTTCACTTTTTAAGCTGAGCTTCCTAATATTTTTGTAACAATTCCCAAGATATGACCCAGGTATTCTATGATTAACACCTGAACAAATATTAGCAAGTTGCAAAATACTGCAGGTTTTTATTTTTCATAATTAGGCATTAAAATTATGTAATGATTTTAGGAGGCGGCGTGGCACTTTACTTCAAAAACCATCATATGAAGGTTGTTTCTGCTCAAGAACCAAGTGTTTTATTTAAAGGCCCCATATAAAGTTTAAACCACTTTGGCTTATATTGTAGTCTTACCCAATGTTATCAAAGTGTGATATCTGAAACTTTTTTTTTAAATTTCAAAAAGTGGTTTTTGATAGATTTTTTGTTCCAAAATTTGTGAATTTATTTAAAACCAACTTTTAGAGGTCACTCATATCTTCTAATTAGCCACAATCCATACCAATGCGTAGCATTCATCCTCCCGTGTTTTTTGCCGAAAAAATTAAGAAAATTGGTTCATAAGCGAGAAATGAACTTATCAGTGCATGAAAATGGTTCTGAGAAAAATGCATTTCAAAATTTTAGTTCTCATAGAAACCAATGGTACAATGATATCTAAAACATAATTTATTCTTCCTTTTAACCTGGTTAGACAATCAACATTGTTTTTTTATGAAAGTCTAACATATTTAGAAAAGATTGACAAAAAGTTTTTGGTACCTTAGTGACATCACTAATGTTTCAAAATATTTTTGATATGCTAAAACATTGAAGTGGCCCATTAAATATGGCATTTTATTATTGAAATAGTGTGTCCTTTGTTCAACCTTTGCATTGGTGTTAAAAAGATAATCTTTTTTGAAATGCATTAAGAAATATTTGATGATTAAGAAATTTCAACTTTTTTTGAAAAATGGCGGGAAATTTGAATATTTGAGAAATGAAATGCTCACAACTTTTTTTTCAAAAACATTTTTTTTGTTCAAAAATCTCTAAAATCACTTTTTAAGTCCTGACAAATAGTAAATGAATGATAAAAAAATATTTTCAAACTTTAGACGGGGACTTTAAGTGTAAACATGCTAGTAATAACTTCAGATAGCTATAAATGATTGATGTGCAATATGTTAATTAATTACATAATTAATGACGTAACAATCTAAGGTAGGTGTGTCAATTTTGCCAACATACCAGGGGCATGGTGCTTTACTTTACAAACCACAATATCAAGGTTGTTTCTGCACACAAACCAACTGGTGTATTGAAATTAGGATGTTAGTTACAAATTCAGCTACAGGTATAAATGGTTCATGTGTAAAATGTTAATTAATTACATCATGATGTTACAATCTAAGGTGGGAGGTTCAATTTTGTCACTGTTTTCACTTTTTTTAGCAGAGTTTCTTCATATTTTTGTGACTGCTAAAGTATGACCCAAATGTATATCTTCATCATTGAAAAGGTATTACCAAGGTTTCAAAATACTGCAGGTTGAGTATTCTTCATAAATTGGCATTGGAATTATATAATCATTATAGATGGGGGTGTGGCACTCTCTCCACTTAAAAACACCATATAAAGGTTTTCTTTGCACATGAATCGACTGATAATTTAGAATATAAGCATGCTAGGTATAACTACAGATATTTATAAATTATTTTATGTGCAAAATAATAATTAGTTACATCATAAATTACATCATTTTATATAAAATTGTAGTTTATAATGCTATATCACCTGTTTGATTACCTAAATGCAGATTAAGATGATAATAGCCCCAGGTGCTGTATAAATCAGTGCCATGCTACAAACATGTACCAAACCACTGACACATGCTCAGAATCAAGGCTTTGATATCATCTGACAGGGAGATTCATTCCATAGTATATTAGCCACAATACAAAGTTAGCAAGAGATAAGGGGCTTACTACATCGCTGTATATCAAACCCATTATGAAGTCAATGAAACTAACAACAAAAATGGTATTGTTGATGGAAGCTCAGAGATTTAAGCTATGATTTTGGCCAAGAGTATATCATATCTACCAACGACAAGCAGCAACAACATATAGCAGTTTCAGAGCAATGGTATTACCCTGATTGTTCCTGTAAGAATATGTACATGCTGACAAGATTTATAACATCCATGGGTATATTCATGTCAGAATTTGGTATCCACGAAATGAAAGAAGCATCATTTGCATGTGTATAAAAATGCTGAGTAGAAATAATTTCCCTCTGAATGTTAAAGCTCTTCACATGCATAACTTCATCCAGTTGATTGTATTGTATTTTTTTTACCACCAATGAAGGTGAGCAATACCTCTTGGGTATGTCCCGTATATATACGGTCGTAATTTACGTAATTAACATGGAACCCAGAAACCCCTCCTTTAAGGAGCCCTATGTTCTTTTATGTGCACTTATACATAGACATATATGATATAAGTATATACCACAGCCTTTTGTATGAGTTGCAGACCACTCAATCAAACACCCTGAAGTACTTCACGCAAACAAGCAAATTTAGTCTTGCCTGAACCAGGGATCAAATCCGGGACCTATTGCGTAAGAAGTACAGGGTGTTAAAAAAAAAACGCAACCCAAGGAAATAGCTATATCTTGGAAAATACTCATGCAATTATGTTTATATTTTCAGGAAAGAAAGAAGAGACTGTGTTTGTATAGCTCCTGTTGTTAGATAGTTGTAAAACATGATGTCTTGGACACTTGGTCAAAAGACAGTTGTACTAGCAAAATACGAAAAATGTGAAAGGAAAATCACTATATCTTGGAAAATACTAATTCAATTATGTTTATTTTTTCAGGAAAAGAAAGAAGAGACTGTGTATGTATAGCTCCTGTTGTCGGTAAGTTGTAAAACATGATGCCTTAGACACCTACTCAAATGGTGTTTTGGCACTTCAGATTTGGCACAAATTATCCTCATTCAATGTGTGGTGAATTTGTTGAGTTTCATCAAAATCACTCCAGGGACTTTACAGTCATAGTCAAAATGCCTTCTTAAGTCTCCCTGAACCAGGGCGTTTGACTGCGATTTGAAAGCATTTTAAACATGACTGTAAAGTCCCTGAAGTATTTTGATTTCACTCTACAGATTTACCATACAGTGAATGAAGATGATTTGTGCCAAATTTGAAGAGCCAAAACACTATGGTTAGAAAGTTATTTAATTTTTTTGACGTTGCAGTCACCCCTGACTGCGTTTTTCGTATTTTCCTAGTATAACTGTCTTTTGAGCAGGTGTCCAAGGCATCATGTTTTACAACTAACCATTTACAGGGGCTATGCATACACAGTCTCTTCTTCATTTCCTGAAAATATGAACATAATTGAACGAGTATTTTTCAAGATATAGCGATTTCTTTGGGTTGCGTTTTTTTTAACACCCTGTACCTGCGCTACTGCTGAGCTACACGGGTGGCCATTTTGAAGATAAAAAACAACCAGAAGCCCCACTCCTAAACATTGGGTGCAGTCAGAACCTAATTAACCAGTCTTCACTATGATGACTTTAACAAGAGCTGAGCGAGAGGCAGAGTAGCTGCTATATATGGGACAGTTGAAGATATGCTTCCCCATGTCACATCAATTATGCCAGATATGGTTATTTATCCTATGCCAAGTAGAGTTTTAGGGAGATAAGTTGGTAAGATATATCCTGTATCCTATCCTGATTTTGAGGTTTCCATATCCAGAACCTCCATATCTCCCACCATATCTCCCGCTTCGGTGCATATCTTCATACTTCCGGTGCATATCTTCCCGCTTCCGGTAATGCAATAAAATGACTTTGCATATGAATGATTTGTATATTTTTATACCTTGTAGTATTGAAATGACCATATGACCCTGAAAACTCAACTTGGTATAGGATAAAGCAGTTATGTACGGTCGGTTTGGATATAGGGTTCATCCCTCGTGAGATATGCACATCTACCTTCGGTCCCTACGGTCCCTCAGGTAGATATGCATATATCCCTCTGGATAAACCCCATATCCAAAACCTCCCAGTACATAACCCTTATTTATCTGAATGACATGGAATGCCTCCAAAATGCATATTTGATAGTGTAGCATGTCAGATTAGGCTCTGGTATTGAATGTGGACCGATTTGTTCTTAAAACAATGTTTATCAAGTGTGGATGTGAACAAAGCGTTACAATAACTTTGAAACCAGGAACCATAAATCTTTACATACAGTATAGTCTGAACGTGTGTAGTCAGCTGAACAAAGATCTTGTGATCTTGATGTCAACCTTTTATTTGAGAGTTGCTATGAAGACTACCAAAGGGATGCACACAGTCATCAGACAACAGAGATGTCTGCAAACAGAATCCACAACCTGGTCCCAACTACCCCTCTTTCTCTGCAAACTCCAACCATACAATTAGGAGAACAGGATATCAGATAACTGTAAAACGCATACTTGCATACTGCTATGGGGTCAAACCCAGTATTCATTAAACTATATTGGATCCTAATATGAGTTCAGAGAAAGAGATCTTGATGAGTTGGCATATGAATATGAAAGAGATGATATTGTCCAAATTTTACTATAAACCGAGTCAACAATTCAGCACACCTTCTTTGAAAGATTGCCTCTTTTGAATCTTGTAATGTTATTGTTAAAACTCATTTCTTGGACATTAGGTAGATTATATATTTGGAGGCACAGTAAATTTAAAAACATAAGATTTGTATCATATCCCGAAATATCAAGCAATACGCATTATGCAATATATAATCTAAATATTGAGTCTACTAGTGTATTTCATAATTTGCCATGTCTATTTGAATCGTAATTTATCTAGAATATGATACAGTAACCATTTACAAAGAAAAAATTTCCATTCCAGGTGCGAACCAACCCATACCTGCTGGTATATTAACAACACTACAATGCCCATTTTTTTGAGTGATTGCATGATTCCAATGCTCTTTATGAAATATACTCACATAATAATTATAATAGTAGAATTACACAAATATCATATCATAGTTACATAACTACACGGTACAAATATTAGGAAGCTCTGCTGAAAAAGTGAAGATGAGGAAATAGAAATTGTCACACCCACCTGTAATTGTTACATAATTTATTATGCAATTAATTAACTTTGCACATATTTCATTTTAGGTATCTATAGTTACAACAAGCAGGCATTACCTTTGAAAAACGGTTATTTCATGTACAGGAACAACCTTCATATGATAGTGTTAGGTAAATAGTGCCACATCCCCTTCTCAAATAATTACGTAATTCAATGCCTACTTAAAAAGATATTCAAATTGCAGAAATGTGCATTAAGCTAATATTTCTGCATAAACATGCACACTTGGATATTCTATTCTTAATAGGAATAGTTACAAAAATATTAAGCTCAGCTGAAAAAGTGAAAATGAGTAAAAAGTAGCAAAATTGCCACATCCACCTGAAATTGTTACATAATTTTCATTTAATTGCTTTACATTGTGCTCATAAATCATTTCTAGCTATCTGTAGTTATTACTACCATGCTTACACTTTAAGATATCAGTCTATTGAGGTGAAAATACAACCTTTATATGATAATATGTAAGTAAAGTGCCACGCCCACCTCTGAAATGATTACATAATTTCAATGTCATTTTATAAAAAATGCTCAACCTGCACAATTTTGCATCTTCCTAATATTTTATGTAGACACAATAAGGTATCCAAAAATGCAAAGAAAAAAACTTTCTACTACAAAACGACCCCTACTGTGTCTACCGCTAGACTACATTTGGGTGATAATACTTGTACAACTGTACCTTGTATATGGGGCAAACTCTTTTAATTAGAGTTATTGAAAGTGAAATATGCTCTCCTCATACTACTGTAGTGTACTGAGAATACATTATTGTATTATAACCATTGTATCAAAAACATGCCATGAATTATACTATTGTACAAAAGATATGCTAATTGTACTTTAACTGCAGAACAAATGTATTTTACTTTTCTATTGCACTCTAATTATACCATTGTACAGTGCTAAAAATATCTAATCTAATATACCATTGCACTAAATATTTGTGATACTTTCAAACTTTCTATCTCTTAATAACTTTGTCAAAAATAAGGCAATCTTCTTGATTTTCCTTTTAAACATAAGTTGTCAATGGATATGTTTTTTCCAATGTGACATTCATATGTCCCATATAACCCAGGATATGACCTTGTTGTTGACACGGATATGACTGGGACATTAATATTTGGGATGTGCCTTTGTCAACATCGCCATCTCATGATAACATTGAACTGACACTCTGCACAATATAGAAATCTCATAATTGTAATAACAAAAAGTTCAATTGCAAATCCTTGGAGGTTTGATTGTTTTATTTATTAAACATCTTGCCTTTTTACATTTTCACAGTGGTAACTTGCATGTACATTATGCCACTCTGTACTGTAACTATACTATTGGACTATGAATGTACATGCAAGGTAAAAATGACAAAATTTACCTTGGTATATTTGTCAGCTGTTACAAAGGAGGACCAGGCCGAGTATGTGTATCCTCTTTGAGTTCGAGATATCGTCAAAGACCCTTTGTGTAAGAGGACCATCATTGACATGAGCATCAGCACAACAGCAGTACAAAGGAAGAGGAAGACATTCAGCTTACACACAACTGTTTTCATCCCACTGAAAATACAAGTTAAAATATTTAAGGCTCATGTTAATAACTGGTCTAATGTCAAAATGTCAAGTATGTGGATTTATTACAGCATGACCAAAAATATTCCAGTTTTTGGTCACCCTGTACATAAAAATTGAAGAAAATTTAAGTAACTTTTTTGAATGAATATTCTACCAAAAACAACACTGATTTTTTTTTTCTCTTCTGTTTATCATATTTTTTAGTTATTTGTAAGCTAAAAAGAAATCTGTTTCAGCAATACTATAAAACAGGCTAATGATACTATAAGGCAACTTTTTGTGATAAAATGGAATACAGAGAAACCAGTATATCTGAACACTTCTGTAATCGGGCAATTCCTCAATATGAATACTTTTTCTCTTTTCCAATTTTTTATCTCCCATTGAGTTAAAACCTTGAAATGTGAACACCTGCTACTTTGAACACTTTTAGCTGATCCCAGAGGCATTCGGATTAGACAGGTTTTACTGTAGTCCTCATATGCCAAACCTTTTAAACAGTGCATGCTGTGTATAGCTTTACCCTATATAACTATTTTGAAATGTATAAGTTGAAAATTCTTTATTCAAGAAAGGATTCTCTGAGAATTGTGTCAAAATTGAAACATTTTAAAACAATGGCAATTATGTACAGTACTTAACAGCATTAACATGTCAAAAGGAGCAAGTTAAAAGAAATCACTATTTGGTTTTTCATACAACTGTATCTTAATTAAAGGCCCTGGAACTATTGAAAACATGTCTTTTTATTGGAACATTGTCCCAGGGAAAGTAGGAAAGTACAATTATTTTTAGTATATATATATCAGATCCGATAAATAAATGTTTTTGGGTCAACGAAAGTGCCCAAAAACCCCATCCCCCTTGCAAAAGTATTTTCATCTCCATATGAACATCCATATTTTGACCCCCCCCCCCCCCCTACATACTCAAAATGTTGAGATAGCATACAGGGTGTCTCGAAAGTATGCCCCCCCCCCTAGGCAGACATATACCAGTGTCATCATAGTATTTGTCATATATCATTTTAAAGCTCATCCAAAGTTACATTGATTTGCCAAGTATCATGGTTCAACTCTCATATGGGAAAAAGTTACAGTTATTTTAAAATTCAGTGTTTGGCCAAAATAAAGTTCAATTTTACACCACATTACTAGTCAATGTGTCCTCCCTTTGCCATGTTACAGCAGCAATTATTTTCAGATATGACATTAAAAGCCCTTCAAATAGGAGTTTGGAGTTTGTAATCCTCTTAAAACCCTTTAAGTCACTTAAGAAGAGTTTCTCGGAGTATCTACCCTCACCGTTCTCTTTTTCCAACGCAATATACATCCGACCCAAAAATAATTATTTTTCGAATTATTATAAAATACATTAAAATGGCGGCCATTTTTCAAAATTTTTTCAAAATGGCCACCTTCTACTAAAAGTGTCATAGGATAGTGTGTCATGCTTTTAGTATTCACATACCAAATATGAACAAAATCGATCAACTACTTTTCGAGTTATAGTAAAATATGTTAAAATGGCGGCCATTTTGAAAAATGGCCGCCTTCTACCAAAAGTGTCATTAGACAGTGTGCCATCCTTATAGTATTCACATACCAAATATGAACAAAATCGCTTCACTACTTTTCGAGTTATAGTAAAATAGGTTAAAATGGTGGCCATTTTTCAAAATGGCGGCCATTTTTTAAAATGGCCACCTTCTACCAAAAGTTTCTTTAGACAGTGTGCAATGTTTATAGTATTCACATACCAAATATGAACAAAATCGCTCAACTACTTTTTGAGTTACAGCAAAAATCGTAAAATAAAGAGTAAAGGCCGCCATTTTTCATGATGGCTGCCATGTGCTTCTTTAATATCTACATCTCTAGCTTTATTAATGTCCTATATAATTTTTTTACATCTAAAACATATTGCTATTACAGTTTTACATATTGCACCTAAATTACTGTAAATTCGGCACTAAAATGGCCACCATTTTGAAATGAGCGGCCATTTTGAAAATCGGCTTTCGAGCAGAACTTCTACCCCCATAGGGTATATGTGTACAAAATATGAACAAAATCGGGCCAACGGTATTTGAGTTATTGCCCGGACGGACGGACGGACGGAGCCGTTCCCTATATCCCTCCGAACTTCGTTCGATGGGATAATAATGAAATAAACCAAAGATTCCTTACCAAATATGCCTAACGTATTAAAGCTATTGCCAAAAGTATGTTCTCAAGCACTTCAGTTAAATGTTCCTCTTTATCACCAAAGTAAAGCCAAACTCCAGTAGGATGTGATTCTTGTTTCTAATTCCTAATAACTTTGTTGCTTATTGTTGCTTAATTAAAAATAACCCTTGAGGTAAATCTGCATTCACATGTTTTTAATTTGAAATACAGTTGGTCCACAAGCATACTATAAGTGCAATGAATAAATCCAGATCCTAGACGACTGTCTATATTAAACGATCCACCAAATTAGATAACTTTCTAGAATCCTTTTAAACAAACTAAATCTAGTATTTCAACTATTGATATATATACATGTATTAGAATCAATGATTTAATATATCTATTTCTAGTGGAGAATGTTTAATAAAACATCTGCTAACTGATTTGCCATGAGACTAAAACAGATTATTAGCTTTCCAAATGCAGAAATAACAATAGATAAGTTTAATACAGCAGATGGTATTAACAAATAACTTGTTCAATTTTCAGGTATCAAAAATATGCAGGTATTCTCTGAAAAAAGAATGAAATATTTTGTTTTATTATTCTTATTCACTATTATGCTTCTAATTCTGTAACAATGAGAGGATAGATATTGGATTCTGGAGAATATATACCAAATATGCTTTTAACCATTTAATGCATAGATACAATACATGAGCTCATCAGAATAACCACTCTAACTACAGCCACTCTTAGATGCAAGATATTGCCATCTTTTATCCTCAATAGTCACATGTGCAAGATGACTTGTGACATCACTGGTTTATAAACATCAAGAACATGGCAACGGATGCACAATTGCTATGAGTACCCATGCTCATACTACAAATATAAGCTGTGATGTCATAACAGTGAAGTTTTGTTGCCATGCGTATCCAAGTATTTTCTACAATATTGTTGTGACGTCATAACAAAAACATAACATCCGGGACTTTCTACCATGGTATATACTCCGTGGTATACACCCTACTATTTTTAATCATGTGATCGTTTCTTATCCAATGAGAAAACGAGAAACATTTCAATGATATAATAAATAATAACAATATTTATGCCATGTGACACTGTAAGTTCAAACATTCTTAGAATAATACACAATAGAGTAATATCTAACTATTCCATCACAACACAGTGATATATCTAACTATTCCATCACAACACAGTGATATATCTAACTATTCCATCATAACACAGTGATATATCTAACTATTCCATCACAACACAGTGATATATCTAACTATTCCATCATAACACAGTGATATATCTAACTATTCCATCACAACACAGTGATATCTAACTATTCCATCACAACACAGTGATATATCTAACTATTCCATCACAACACAGTGATATCTAACTATTCCATCACAACACAGTGATATATCTAACTATTCCATCACAACACAGTGATATCTAACTATTCCATCACAACACAGTGATATATCTAACTATTCCATCATAACACAGTGATATATCTAACTATTCCATCACAACACAGTAATATCTAACTATTCCATCACAACACAGTGATATCTAACTATTCCATCACAACACATTGATATATCTAACTATTCCATCATAACACAGTGATACATCTAACTATTCCATCACAAAACAGTGATATATCTAACTATTCCATCATAACACAGTGATATATCTAACTATTCCATCACAACACAGTGATATATCTAACTATTCCATCACAACACAGTGATATATCTAACTATTCCATCACAAAACAGTGATATATCTAACTATTCCATCACAACACAGTGATATATCTAACTATTCCATCACAAAACAGTGATATATCTAACTATTTCATCACAATAACTGCAGTTCTAGGAACTTCCCAAATCCCATTCCATTCCAAGTCATTTTTTATTTGATCTCGGGAGAATTTTTTAATGACTTCGTAGGGTAACCACATTTTGAATTCTAATTTTCATCCTTGTTGGTATGGTATATACATCGGATGATATAAGACTGGGTGCAACAAATATTTTTGAATTAAAACTACCCGTATCTTCCTTAATGTCGACTTTGTGTGTCAAATTAAAAAATGATGATGTCTTGAGAGGTTTAGAAGCTCCCCAATTTTTACAGATTTTCAGACCAAGCGCACCTCTAAAATATGCATTAAGGCTTATATGCCATCTATCCATTCAAAAGTATTGTAAAAACAACTTAGTGAAAGTGTGCATGCTTGACTGACATTCTCTGAACTTCTAATGCTTTGTACAGTATTCAACAGATTGTGTGAGTAACAGTTTTTCACAATTTTTTTTTCTTTCTTTTTTAAATATGCAGTGACAAATATGTCAAGTATTATTATAGAAGTCTGAGTGAAAAAATGCATTTGATGTCATTTTGGATGCAAATTGCATAATAAACTAGAAAAAAAGCAACTCCACGGAGTAGCAAATCCCACCGAACAAAACCTGTTTTGATAAAAAATTTGAGCCGAATTCATCCACTGGTATTTGAATTATCAAAGATAATGTTTTTATGAAACATGGTTGCCACTTTGAAATTCAGCTGTCATCTTTAGATTTCTTCTTTAGCAGAGAATGTCCGTCCAATGGTATTTGGGTTATCAAAGATTACTTTTTTAATGAAAAATGGCAGCCATTTTGAAATTCAGCTAACACCTTTGAAATTTCTTCTGAAGCAGATCTCCTTTTTCCCTAAACATCAGCATATAAAATTGGAACCAAATCCATCCACTGGTATTTGAGTTATCATTAATTA